TCTCTACTTTGGTTTTGTGTAACAAACTCATTTCAAACTAATATACATTGACAACTATATATATATATATATATGATTGGAGCAAAACTCAAGCAGATTATATCGATAATCATCAGTAGATTTCTCCAAGATACTCGTATTTCCTAGAAATTTAGTCGAAGCTGTCGGCTGGATGTATTTATTTTTATTGTGAATATATAATTCCTGTTCTATCACCATGCGCTGTCTCTTGATTTAAGATAATGATTTTAACCTTTAATTAGAGGATGTACTGATAGGAGCAGGTAGTAATTTCCATGATGCGCCTAAGTTGTTCTCTTCTCTCGCTGCAGATTTGATCTGTAAGTTTGAGTGTCGTGTCCTCTTGGGTGCTCATGCGTGAGATTCGCAACCCTGTCACTGAACAGATCACCGGACACTAGATGCGTTCTTTGTCCGTGTCGTGTTCCCTGCGGACACGTTTCATCTAAAGTTGTTAGCGATTCAAAGATTTTATTTGCTGCTCTGTCATCGTTTTGATTGTACATCAAATTACGTAGCGTCTTGAGAGCCATTGCGTTTCTAAAACCGGTCGTTGATGCCAACATTGATATAGTTATCGTTTGACATTTTCAAGGCAATTTTTAATAATATTTTTTATGAGCTGGTAAATTCGATCCGCACTCTAGTGATATACACCTCAAAATTCATTGCACTCTTCTTTTAAATGGAAAAAATATTTTGAATATAATATTCATTTGAGCTTCCGAATTCCCGGGAGGCATTCCGCGGTTCTCTGACAATTTTATGATCAAGCGCAATGAATTTATCTGAACAAGTACCGGCGTAGTTGTGCGTGCCGCAGAACTTTCTCCTGTCATGATAATATCACAAGACTTGTGACTACTCTGGCCGACTACTGATCTTGTCGCGATGTTCTCCGGTAACGCTGTGTTAAGTCATCCTCCATTGGCAGAGAATTATTCCTGCTACGAACTCCATATAATCAAAAAATTGAATAACACACAATATTCAATCACACAATAAAAATATTTGAATGAAATTCAACTAACAAGTTTGCTTTCAGGGAATGTAATATCAAAGATTCCGCCCAATGAACTGCCATAGTATTATTAAATTGTACAAACATTCTGCAATTTTCACAATTAACCCATGTCTATTTAATGAATAAAAAATGTATTAAATCAAGCAAAATAATACAAAAAAACAGGCGAATTCAATTGGATCAGCAAGCATATAGTAAAACAGATTAATACGAGTATGAAAAGGTAAGACAAAGTTTAATCCATTTTTTGTTCATCACAATATTGGAAGCTCTTATCTTCTAGGATACAAACAACTGAAACTAGACTGACATGTCGCAACGTTGATAATTGTTTTGGCGTATGCATGACGAGCGAAATAATTCGTATCCAACTGGAAATGAATCATAGTTTACAGATAAAATTAGTTAAACAGATTTAATTTTTTACGGAGTTTTATTCATCGTGAATCATCAGAAAATATCGTACCTAATATAAATTTCTAATTAACTTAAGTTCTTTTACTGGAAAAGTTGATTTATTTTTTAAGTTAATGGCTGCATCGATTTTTAAATCAACGGCTTCAAATAAAGCCACAGAAATTATAGACACTGGCCCCGTGTGTTTCATATGAAGGAATAATATTTTCTCAAGAAGCAAAAGCATGTAGGTTTGTGAGGAGCATTTCAGCGCGCCTTATCAGTTAGTTGCGTCTTACATGCCTCGCTGCCAGATCTATCTATATACGCTCAGCTACTCTCATATACGCTCTTTTCCTTGTGCTCCTATATTGCTAGTGCTACTTTCCTTATGATGCTCGTATCGTAATTTCTAGCGCTATTAAATAAGTCTTCAGGTCACTGTATTTTTAGCGTAGCTATTTTGCTTCCTTATACTTGTTCAGGTGTAACTTACAAAACAGTTGCACTAAATTTAATTGTACTGACCAATTATGCGTTGCAATCCGTTCTTCAACTGACTTTCTGTAACTTATTTTCTTCTTTTTTTTTAGCAAAACTCTTATATTTCAACGATGGTTGAGTTTTAAAACCTTTATGGGAATTATTATGAGATTCTTGTGTTGAGATTTTCTGCTCGTGTAGCTGCTGTGCTACTTGTGGCTTTAATTCTCTAGTGCCAGTAAATTTGACACTGTCTTTTGCTTTACTTTCGACTTTGCAATCAAAACTGAACTTTTATGAAAATTAATTAGCATTTGTGGCTGCCTCTGTGCTGTGGTGGATGAACCCTCCGAACAATATCGTCAACTAAAGCTTTCATTTTCACTGAAAAATGTAAAGTAAAGTATACATAAACCTTTTGAAAAAAATGTCTTTTCTCCGCAGCTTATATTGCGTCGCTGTTCTGTAGAGTTCTATTGCCACTGCGCTATTCTGTAGAGTTCTATTTCTAAATTAAACAGAAATAAAATGCGTAGAATGGTTATCCTGTTTCACAAATATCGCTCATTTTTCTTCACCATAAAGGGTGTTATTTAGTTAACTTTCTGATTTCTCGCGTTTGTTTTTCCAGAGGCGCTATAAGAGGTTTTATATCCTCGGTACAAACCAAGCGTTTTTATAGCACGTGTCAGTTAATTAACTTAATCGTTCTTACATCATATATGTAATTTACGAACACTATACAAGGTGCTTTTGTTAATGAGTTTTTGCGAGAAATTTGAAAGTAGAACTTTTTCATTCGATAATTTTGATATGCAATTGATTTTGAGTTTCAGGTCTTCATTCATTAGCCAAGTTCTATTATATTTTCATTCGTTTCAAATCGACATCAGGTTAGAATTTTTCATAAAATGATAATTTTTCAGTGCACTCGAAATTAGATTTATCTAGTTTTGCAGAATTTACATCTATCCTAAATCGTAAATTTTAGAAACTTAAAAATCTGGTTAGACAAATTACCAAAATTATTTACCGTGCCTGGATATTACGTTTAATTTGAACCACGGATTCAAATCATTTACACGATCTTCTGTCATTAACGTTCATTTTCAAGATCAAAGATTACATGCTCAGAATGGAATTGGTGTTCGTAATTTTTACAACAATATTAATTTTGAAATCGACGTCCGCGACTGCCCAGATCAATTGAATGCCTGCATTCATATAACTCGCGGATTTACAATACGGCACAAATTTTCCAGTCCTTGCCTGCTGACCTCCATTGATTTATTCGTCGGGCGACGAGGATCTCATTAGCGGCCCCTTAAATTAGCTCTGTGGCGCGCCGTCGGTTGGACACGTCCTCGTCTCGTCGTTACCGACGAGGAAATCAGCGACAAATTGAAGGCGACTGAAGATCTTAGGCTGCTTTTAGAGTAAAAAATGTTTTAAATACACGCAAAAAATGAGAAAATCTTGAATTCTGTAGAAAATATTGTAAATTACATGCATGAATCTCATTTCTCCTTTCCATGTAATATAGCAAACAGCCTAGTCAGATTGTACATATTTTAAGCATAGCTGGCGGCTCACTAGCATAGCATGATATTATTGCCGGTAAAGTTTTGAAAATTATTTATCAAGATTTCGCCCTGGATCTGCAAACAAAGGTCGGTTCACTCTCTTGAACTCGTGTCAAGCAAGTGCAGCTCATCACTCATTCGCTGCCGTGATGATACGCAGCCTCATCCCCACGTTCTGTCTCGGGCTATTTATTCACAATGATTGACGACTCCGACAATTTCAGGGCTATGGTCGATCTTCGTTGATTTTGATAGTAATTCTACATGCAACAATCAATTTGTTCTGAGATGCTTTCTTCTTGCTGTAATCTAAATATTATTTAAAGAGTCAAAGGAAACAGTTGCAGGCTAGTAACTTCGCACGCATCGATCAATGTTCCTCCTTTTCTGACATGCTAATCATGGAAAATTCCTGTCGTATCCTCCAATTTAAGCATCCATGCGCAACTAATTTGATGTATGCGCAACTAATTTGATGTATGCGCAACTAGTTTGATGTATGCGCAACTAGTTTGAACTAGTTTGTTACTTGTTATTGGCTTTTTTATGAACATGACCAAAAATTTTGTGGTTAGTAGTAGGCTTGCACATGATAGATCTTTGAATTCAGGTTTGTAGACCATGAACAGACAAGTCGTGTGTTGAATAAAGTAAGGTTCTGTTATATATAAAAGAACTTTGTTTTTATACGGCAATGAATAATTACCTAAAAAACTCTGGGGAGAATATTTATCGGAAGGTGGATTTAAAAGCAGTACGGGAATTCTTGTTCTGTCATGAAAACAATATAAGTGATATGTTCTTTTACTGGAGTTCAACCGAACAAGAAGATTATTAACCTGCTTCCAGCGTTCAATGTATTTAAGCGATATCCTGTTCATTTAACTTCGTGAAATGCTGAGGATTGGAAGCGCAGTGACTGTTTTGTGTTTAAATCATCACCACGTCAACATGGAAGAAATTTCTGTTCATCAAAAGCGCATAAATTCAACTATAAATTTATAAGGGGATTTGTTATGGGCAAATTCTAGTTAAAAGTGGTCGCAAATCCACACTCTGATACTCTGAACGTTTATTCATATGTTTTAAGTTAATTCTTTATTGATTTGGCGTTCGGGCAACACAGCTAACTTATTTTAGCGTATTTGCTGTACTTACGTCAGTAACTCACAGTTAGTCCCATGTCCTTTTATTGCTCTTGAATCACAAACAAATATCAATAATTTACTCCATTATCATGTATTTCTTGAATAGTTCAATTAACTTTCTAGTGCCTATCACCAAGATATAACGCTATCATGTTAGGTGCGCTTCTCTTCCCAATAGCATCCACCTGAAAATAAAATGATAATCCATTAAATTTTTTAGAGGCGTAAATCTGATTTTTACCACCTAAAACTATAATTATTATCACCAAAATTTTTATGCGGTCTAAATCTAATTTTTATCACCTTAATCTATAATTATAATCACCCGACATTTTTGGTGCGCAGATCCGCGTGGTGCTGCGCATCTCTCCCCTGGTGCGGCTGCTGGAGCACGAGGCCGCGGTGCTCTGCCTTGACAAGAAGCGGCGTCAAGTGACCCTTGTCGACCCCCTCGCCCCCCCGCCCCGCGACACGCGGCTGGGTGTCGTCGCGCCTAAAATGTTCGCCTTCGACCAGGTCTACAGTCAGGACGATGCCCAGGTGTGTTTTACATTCTATCAAATTTCATTAAAAATTATGACATATTTATTAAGATGACTTTTATGTTAAGCAACTTGTCTAAATTAAGGCCTCTACTCTAATTATACGAATATATTTTAACGTATCAAATTATTAAAAATTTTGTGTTACAATGAGGACAGTTGTTGGCATATTTTTTAGTCGTTTGTTCTCTCATAAATTGAAATATACTTCGAGGAATGGGTTGAAGGTGGATGCGTGTATGTTTCTATGTATAGAAATGCAGCTTGCCGATGACAAACAGAAATATGCTCGAGCGATGAAAGAAAACTTGTTTTCATAGTACAAAGGAAAAAGTTATAAGATGCAAACTTTGAGCTTACCCTGCACTTATCAAGTATTATGTTCACTAACAAAATGTTTCAGTGGCACGAAAATAACGACTAAAAAAATATCTGGGTAAGAATCTTGTTCGTCTTTGGCCCGCCATGGTTTTCAGGACCAATAATTAATCATTCAGATGGTAAAAATTAATCAAGCATTGCAAGTATATATCTGTTCATTTACACAAATCATTGCACATTGCTTCCAAATTTTATCCACTTGTCACAACGTTATTCCTACGGCGCGCAGAGCGACGTCGTGTCTGGCGCTACAGTGGACGTGCTACACGCGGTGCTCGCAGGCAACGATGGCTGCATCCTGTGCTTCGGTGGTTCGCTGCTGGGCAAGTCCTACACGATGGTAGGGCTGCACGGCGCCCAGCAGCAGCTGGGCATCATGCCCAGCTGTGTGGCGTGGCTCTACGCTGCCATCGCCCGCCTCAAGGCAAATGCCGCTGTGCGCTTCAGCGTCCGCGTCTCCGCCGTGGCTGTTGATGCTACCGGGGCAAACGTTAAGGATCTTCTCGCTCAGTCTGCGTACGGTTAGTGATCTTACTGCGCAATATGAACTAAAATTGTGACTCAAAAAAAAGCAGTGGGTGCGACAGTATTTTAGACTACGATATAATTTTGTTTTGTGCCTTAACATTTCAATTGTCGCTGCAATGTTTCTTAATTAACATTTCTAACTTCACTCCTCACCTCACTTGTCCAGACGGCGGTAACAGCCCCATCAGTGCGCCGCGTGACGGCGTGGTGGGTGGAGGTGTGCTGTCGTCCCTTTGTGAGCTGCGCGCGCCCACCGCTGAAACTGCAGCCCACTACCTCGACGTGGCCTTAGCGGGGCGTTCATCTCTGGCCCTCTCTTCCGTGAGTATTAGAGGGGCGTTCATCTCTGGCCCTCTCTTCCGTGAGTATTAGCAGGGCGTTCATCTCTGGCCCTCTCTTCCGTGAGTATTAGCTGTCTCTTATACACATCTAGATGTGTATAAGAGACAGTATTAGCAGGGCGTTCATCTCTGGCCCTCTCTTCCGTGTTCATCTCTGGCCCTCTCTTCCGTGAGTATTAGCAGGGCGTTCATCTCTGGCCCTCTCTTCCTTGAGTATTAGCAGGGCGTTCATCTCTGGCGCTCTCTTCCGTGAGTATTAGCAGGGCGTTCATCTCTGGCCCTCTCTTCCGTGAGTATTAGCGGGACCTTCATCTCTGGCCCTCTTCACTCTGAGTATCATTATATTCGTGGCAGATAGTAACGGAAAATCCGTGAATTCAATGTCTGTAAGAGCCTGCAAATTTGATGAAAATATATCAGCAAAGAGTGGTCTGAAGTTACCTATTTTTCGATCTTGGTCGGTTATTATATCATTATCATATTCCTTAATACTTTCCATCGACTAATCCTAAATGGTTTCAACATTTCTTAATTAATGCCTGCAGGTTCTCCAGCAGCAGCAACAAAAACAACAAGGAGCTGTAATTTTTCCAGGGTCTGCCACTCTGGTATACTCTCTCCACATATACCAGTACGCCGTCGACAAAAATGGCAAAGGCGGAGGTAAGAAAACTGACTTGAAATAACGATTACAGTGTGACTTTTTTAGAATAAATTCGTTAATTCTGACGTTTCTGAACTTTCTTGATCAGTGCATTATTTACAGAGGTTAGCCTATGAAAGGAAGACTCCAGCGGTTTCATTAACTAATCACAGTTTTTTAATATTTATTGATATCCTCTGTAGGCGGGACTGTTCACTCAAATTTTTATTCACTGTTTTTAATCTTCATTGGTACCCAATGTAACAGGGATTGTTTACTATGATATCTATTCACTGTTTTTAATCTTTATTGTATCATTTGTATCATACAGTGGGCAGTGCAATTTTGAATATTACACCCGTTCTTCTCACATTGATTTTCAGTTGTAGGCGGACGAAGCCGACTGCACATGATCGACGTGGGCGACATGAGTGCGCGGCACGGCAGCAACAGCATGTCTCTCACGAGCCTCACGTCTGTCCTGCTCGCCATCTTTGACGGACAGAAATATCTCCCGCACAGGTGAAGATTTTTTTTATTCCATGTCAAAGATTTCAGGCCGTATTACTTACGTCGGCTTGACAATTAAAAAACTTAAAAATCCTGCAACATATGCTTCGATGTTTTTTTTTTTTTTGCAAAGGAACGAAAATTCCAATCTTTCCAAACTAGCTTGCGTTAAAGACACCGCATGTTTGATTAATAAGCAAATTAAACAGCAAACTCAGATATATTTAATGCACAAACGATAATAGCTGCTGATAAAATAAAAACTTATATCGTAACCGGCCATTGATACTTTAAGGAAAATTTTTTGTAAACAAATTGATCTTCTTTAACAGAAAAAATTCCTATTACCGAGCGTAAATCAAAAACAAGTAGACAGGTATGTTTTTTTGGCATAAAATTGTTACAATTTCATGCACTTTTTTGGCATAAATTGTTTCAATTAACTAAATCTTTGTAATGACCCGCAGGGAGAACAAGCTGACAGGCGTGTTGCGCGAGGCGCTCAACTCGCTGACGTGTCACACTGCGCTCGTCGTGCACGTCTCGCCTGCCGCTCGTCACGCCCACCACAACCTCACGACGCTCCAGCTCGCCGCCCGCGTCCACCGCACCCGCCGCAAGAAAATACGAGTACGACAACTGCGTTGGGCAGAGAGAGCGGAATTAATAATATGAGTAGCATTTCAAAGAAATTCCAATTAAAAGATCTCAAACGATTCCGGGATCAGATTGAAATAGTCGGGTGTTCACTTATACGCTGATACTAAAATAGCATTAGTGAAAATATAGGATAGGGATTAAATAATCGAATACAAACTTCCCTACTAATCCTAACTTATTTACATTTAAATATGTTTAACTATTGTAATAATTTCCGTCGATGTGAGTGACTTCTTCTTGCGCAGGGCATGACCGGTAGCGGGTCTTCTGGGTCATCAGGGTCGAGAAAATCTTCAGGAGGAGAGACGTCAGCGGGATCCTCATCTCTTGACTTCTCCTCGTCAGACCAGAGCTGCGACACCGTCATTTACATCGGCGGTGGTGGTCCCGGTGACTCTACAGACGGCGAGCATCCACCTATCTTCATGTCACACCACATCCGACAGCCCAGGCCGTTAGGACTCCAGAGACTTCGATCTTTGGAGCAGTTACGAGCACAGTCGGCAAGTCCAACACCCAGCATGAGACGAACGGCATCTGCCAGTCCCACTCCAACATCCCGTTCCGTCCCCAACGGGAAACCATTTTTCAAACGAAAACCTTGTCCACCTCCGCGGACAGTCAGCAACAATTCCCTCAACTACAGCAACAATAACAGTCCGATGTTTCATCCTCTCCACGTTGGTTTCATTCGACATCAGCCTGGCGTGAGTCAAATTCACTACCCTGCCACAGGACAGACTAAGAAGCCTTTCTTATCTACTTTTAAACCATTTTCTACTATTGCCACTTCAAGACAGAATAACAACGTTCATAGTAAAAGTCTTGAAGATAACTTGAATGTTGTAAATGGAAATCAATCTCCAATGAGCAATTTTGGGTCAACCGATAAGCTGCCTAATCATAAAGCGTATCAAGAACCCAACAATTTAGTGCCTACAGCCTTATCTCCAAATCAGGAGTTTTCTAACGTACAAAATATGCGTTATTATCAGCTGACTCAGCAGCAGTTGCACCAACAACAACTATTCAATGAACATTGTTTAAGAGAACAACGTAAAGTATTAGAACAAGCAGCATCCACGGAACACCAGCCTGCAATAAAACCACAACTGAAAACCATATCGGCCTCCGTCATTCCATCCCAAAATCCAAACGTAGAAATATCGCGTAATGGCAAGCAAGAAACCCCGTCGGATGAGCAATGGATCGATGGTCCCAGGGTACACAAGTCGCGCGTAGTCGCTTCACGCAATAACGGTAGAAGCGAACAGCAAGATGAGACTTGGGTAGACGGACCACAAATGAGCACCCAAAGCAATGGGACGCAAGTGTCGGCTGCCACCTCTTCTGCTCAACCCGGAACCTACGGATTCATGGACGACCATAAGAAATCCATGATCGAAAAGTGGGTTGAAGTTCAGACGGCGCAGGTCGTAAATCAAATAACTGGTAAGGTTCCTCCACAATCAAAACATGCTCTGAATATGACAGATCAAAATATTACTTCTGATAATAAAACAGAATTTAGTAACAAAAATGATACAAAAGATGAATCAGTGCCACTCACGCACTTGACTCAGTTCCGTGTTTGCGATGAATCCACAAATGGAAGCGATGTTGATACCTTAAGTGAAGACCCGTCAGCTTCTGGTGTTCCACCGCTGGAACAACCAAGCCTCATTGAAGAACTCGTCAGGAAAAACTTCATACCCAGCGGCTGTCTAGAAATCTTCGATGATCGTTCTAAGGCTGAACCTTCGCTTGATCACATACAGATATCGAGTGCCGATGAGACCAACAAGATTGTTTCGGATGGTTCTACTAAAGGTAGAGGATCACCGGAAACTACTTCATTAGGCGGCGAGCTTTCGATCGACGAGGTCTGCTCTCAGTGCGAGGCGCTGGCAGAAGAGTGCGAAGAGCTCAGTTCACTTCTATCTTGTGAAGAAGAAGAGTGTAAAAGACAAGCACCTCAAGGATTAGGTGAGGGTTCTCCTTATTTATTAAAAAACTCAAATTATAAAATTCAAATCTTCATACCATTTGACTCTTTTTCATTTTTTTAATCAACTATCTCACGTTCCAAACTAGTTTAGGATTTTTAACTATCAAATGAGAACTCAGTACAGCTCAAATTTTCGGAAAGTAGAATATAGTAGTTTTGGATGTTTATTTCACTTACATTCAGTCCCATACCGTGTGAAATTAATTGCAATCAGAATATTTTTTCATTGCACCTGAAGTTCAAATTGATTACTTTTTTAATTGTACTACCAGCAACGGTGTTAGAGGAGCCTGAGCTGGAGTCAGCCGTAGCCGCAGAGGAGGCAGAGATGCGGGCTGCTGACATCGCCCACCCGGACCCCGAAAGCGAGCTCGACTGCCTCTCGAAGATGGACACGCTGAAGAGCAGCCGAGCGGGTGGAGACGATGGCAACGAAGCAGATGAAGAATCTTCTGAGTTTGGATCTCTTAGGAAACCGTTGTCTCAAAATACGAAGCCAGGTGAATTGGCGAGAAACGTAGGACTAATATGCAGGACCCCTGCAGAAGATGGCGCTAAACATGTGGTCTACCGCAAAAGATGCATCAAGAGAACATCAACCTCTTCTGATACCAACGATCACGACTGTGTCGTGAAGTGCGACGGGGGAAAACAGTTTGGCGCGTCATCCCGCACCCCGCCCGAGATGCTCATGATAGACTTGCCGGCTTATCCTGTTGTATCTGTCGACTGCGGAACTCAGGTGACAGCAATTTTTCTCGTTGTTGTTAGGTTCACGATCTTATAGTTTAATCCGTAAAGTAACTGAACTGCATGCATGTTCGCGGTTCTCGTTCCTACTTATGACAGTGATTATAATATCTCGTTAAAAATGTAGAACTAATTTGAATTTTAGTCTATAACTGTCCAGTGAACTATCAACAACAATTTCCTTTCTTCTTTTCCATACATCCCACCACGCCACAGATAATAACCAAAATCTAATTGGAAATTATTGCAAACAAATTGTTGTTGAATTATGTTGCAAACGAAATGTTTACTACTTGTATTTCTGTCGGAATTTCTACCTATACTCACTTATTTCATTGGAACATGAAAATATTCAGTTAATTGGGCCAGTCATTTGGACTTTTATTTTGACGCTCCCCATCCAGGTGAATGAGAAGGACCTGATGTCAACGTCAGTGTCCAGCGGCAGCAGTAGCGACCCTAACACCAGCATCGGGGACGACCACCCGCTGCGGGTGCTGTCAGAGGAAAACCTCACTTGTGCTTCCAACTTCACAGGTCTGTTCGTACATCAGTAAGCTAAAGTTATTTGTATTCTGTTTGATTATATTATAACGAGGTTTTTCAGCGTTTTCTCTTCAGTCGACTACACAATACTACTGTCACGAATTGTTCTTCTAAGAGCGGAAGATTTTTGCATTCTTGTGCGCCAAATTCTGATATGCGTGAATTTTGTTCCCTCGCGTTTAGTTTGAAATTAATATTCTCGGATATTGGTAGAGGAAAGAGAAATTACCCCATTTAACACAGAGATTAATGCATTAGTAATAAACACATTTATTCCTAACTTTTTTCAAGTTGCTGCTTCTGATCCTTAATTTCAAACCCAGACTCTTACTCTCAAATGGGAGAGACTGGAGGCGAAGAGGATTCGGATGGCGACTCTCGCCCTTTCAGTCTATTGGAAGTCACGGAGTATGCGAAGCTGGGACAAGCTCTCTCCAATAATTCTTCTAACAAGAACTTGAGAGAGCTCGCTAAAATACACGCATTGTATATGTCCTTAGCGCAGCCCAATTCTAATATTAGTTTCGATGATTCACAACTCCAGCCTTCATCTTTATTAGAAATCCTTGCCAGCAGCCGAGACTCGTTGATCGAACAGCCAAAGCCAGAGGTCGACTACGAAAGTATCAGCAGTGATTTTGTATCTGCAGTAGATCTGAAAGTAGACTGCGATTCATGCAATAAAACGAAGCACGGTTCTGAAGCGTCAGTTCAGGACGAAGACACCAACAAGAAGTCAACATGTCAACTTACGAGCAATCCAATGATGCCTCGAGTTGGCAATTGCATCTGTGATACCCAGCCTTGTTCAGACACATTGCCATCGATGTTCTCGAACTGGCATGACTCAGAAAAAGGGTCGCATTACAGTCTCATGAAAAACCGGTCAGAAACGAGTGTAAATTTATGTGATTTTAATACTCTAGAAATGAAAGATCCCGGCCGCTCGGTAGACGTAGCTCGGACTGATCGTGTTCCAATTAATGGAGTTCCGGTGCCTCATTTTATTGAAGACTCGGATGCCAGTATTGTTCTACGAAACACAGGGCAGTACAGCAAATATTCTCTTTCTAAAATTGAAGTAGAGGTGCCTCAACCGAGCGTAAAGGATCATCATAGTGATAACGAAAGTGACTGTGTTAGTAATATAAGCGACGATTCAGATTATGTTATCAGAACGTCGAAGTTTTCTAAATTTTTATGTGTTGGTGTGGGAAGGACTAAATCTAAGACTCCATATAAAATAGCCAAAACAAATTTTAAGAATGAGTCAAAGAAAAATTCTAAAATGAAGGACGGTAGTAATAAGATAAAATTTCAATCGTCCAAAAATCAAGATGACTCTAATCCGCCAGAATTCGGTTCAAAAAACGCATTAAAGTCTCCCTCGAAAGCTCCTTCGCAGAATCTTAGCAAAAGCAGCAGCAGTGGAAGTTCCAATAGTTCTGCCGGCACTGGATGGAAGAGCGATGCTTCTTCAGGCTTGGTTGGAGGTCGATGGATTTCCAAAGGAAATGCATACAAAGGAACATCTTATAACGCCAGTAACTTTGGCACAAGTTCATCTTTCTCTTATGAAACCGCTCCCGCTGAAGGATATGACTCCGGTAACGACTCAGGAATAACTCTGGAGAGAACAATACGTGAAAAGACTGAGCCATCTTGGAATACGGAATTGAATGCATCTACAGGAAATCCAAAAAGGCTACCCATTCAACCCAGCATCCCTACCAAGTCTGGGACGAGCAGTTCTATAGGTACAACGCCGTCCCTTGGAGAATCTTCTGGGTATGGTAGCATGGCCAGAGACTCGGAGTGTTCTTCTTTCAGCTCTTCACAAGACTCTGAAATGGACGAAGAGCACAAGCGGGAAAGGCAACGGGCCCGACACAGCTCCCGTTTACCTTCAGTCCAAGTTCAAACGTTCACGGAAGAAGACATCCAGAGATACGAGAGCCGATCTCGAACTGCGGAATGTTTGCAGCTGCAGAAGGAGCAACGAAGTCAGATGGACATCGCTGCCCTCAAGTCCCGTCAAGAGAAGCTCAAATTAGAGTTGGCAGAGGCGAAGAACAAGCTAAACATTCCAGACAAGTCGTGGTCCTACGAACGTAAGTCAAACGTACGTATTGCTTCCTTGTTGTTTTAGTTTGCACTTGATCAAACAATTATTTTTATGTTTTGAATTATACTTTCGAAGTGGATCTAAAATAAACATTGCAATCGCATGTAACTAAATAGGTTCACGTGTATGTTCATCAACATTTTCTTCTTTTTGTAGAATTTTTTAATTGGAATGTGTCATGTTTCGCATTTCATCCAGATTTTTCTTTCGAGGAAATCTTCAGCGTGATTAGACTTGCAAGACGAAACTATAGTCGAAATTATATTAAACTTGGTGTGTCGTTAAATGCACGTAAAAACTCCTGATAATTTTACACCATTTGAAAATTAATATGATTGTCCTTAGTATTGGAGCGAAATTTGTTGCTATGAAAAAATCAACTGCCAGTTCATTTCAAAACGAGAAAACATATTGTTTGAATCCGTGTCATCCATGTTCAATATAGTCTTTCTTATCACCACATTTTTTCCTCATCCACACTTAATTATCGAGAATCTATTTAAAGTTAAGAATATATATTTGCAGTTCACGTAGCCGGAGCCTGCGAGCAGAACAAGTTGGACTCCACCATCGCTGTGTTGGCGCTTGCGAGGGAGACTGAAATATTGCAGAAGAGAGTCGACGCCGCTAGAAGCCGCGTGCTCTGCACCACGTCCTTCCTTCCTCGAGGTCCCCAAGGACTGCTCGAGCACACGAAGCTTCACGATAAAACATTTACCCAGGATGAAGTTGCTTTATGATTACAATAGAGGCCTACAAGTAGCGGTCATATTTTCATAAGTACTGCTGCCATTGCGTAACCTTCCCTAATCAGATGATCAGTTGTTAAAGAAGAGTGTCGCTCGTGTTTGAATTAAATAATTCAAGTTAATGATAATATATTGCTTTTTCATATCAGATCATATTGCAAAATGGTTGAGAAGTAATTTTACAGAAAATATGCACTCACGTTATGATTACACCACCCCGTCAATGTAGCGGTAGTTTCTATTTACAGTACGTGAATGACGAACTTTCATTGATTATATCATACCTATTTATGAGATGTACTTCTTATTAGAATGAATGAAACTTCAGGAGTTTTGTAATTTTTTACGTGGACTGAATCCTATAATGAAACACTCCTCCTTACATCTGGGTGAAAGGTTCAAAGTAGTTTGATAACAGTGTAAATGAATCTTGTGATCTCTGTATCATAGAACTGTGTGAGAGGTTTTCCTTTCTCTGACTCATAAGTTATATCGCCTACTGTTAGTCTATTTGTGTGTTGTGTCCTCACGCATGTTTTTATTTGATCTCATTTAACGCGCAGACTCGATTTACTAGCAACACAAACCATTTCCATGCTATTGCTTTAAATTTTTAAATTTTCTTTGCCATGCGTAATGATAAATAAATAATATGCATGATCATGAAAGTGCAGGCGCACGTTGTCCATCTATCTTAATACACGATTGCAATGAGTCTTAGCGTTTTCCTTCAGATATTTATGATGTTATTGCGGCACCGTTAACTCTTAATGTGAGTCACAGCATTTTCCATCTAAACTTCATAACATAAAACTTTTTTTACCGTTTCAATATTTGGTTTAACCGCACGTCACCTGAAGAAATATTGATGCAATGAGTTTATTACCTAAAATTTTTCTGCTTTGACAAAATATTTATTGAATTTTTATTTAACTATAAAATGAATGCTGGAACATACCAATAGTAAAAAAATGTCATAAAGGCTAATAAAGCTTCACTAGCGTTTCATTTCAAGGGCAGACGGGACAGGGAATGACGGTTTTTATGGTGTGTTCTTTGAGTGATGAAATAGTCAATTATTTATAATCTAAATAAATATTTGTTATAGAGTGATGGTTTCTGTACCTCTTTAGCGTCGAATCACCTGAAGAATATTGAACAACCCAAACGTGAGCAAGAGGTTTTCGAAAACTCGGGCGTGATTTCATTTCAATCTGTGAAACAGATTCGAATGGATTGCCTTTATTGTGAACCGGAGGAATGGTCACGGAAGCTTCCAATGGATCGAATCAATCAAGTCACAAATGCTTGAAAGTGACTTTGGTGTAATGAACGCTCTCGAAATGTTTTATAGTACTGAGAGAAGTTCATCATCTTCACTTCGCTGATTTGGCTTTTACCGTCAGCTGAAATGGTACGAAATAGAATATGAAAGGCTAGGTATACTATAGGAATTTGCTTGTTCAGCAAAGTTTATTCCTAGGAATGAACTGGCTATAACCATCCTTAGAAATCTTTTTTGTGGCAACATTCTTTGTAGTTTTCAAGGGTCAGTCTCATTCGAAATCAGTCAGTTCCAACAGGCCTGTCGTGGTGAACATTGTATTAGGTTGTGATTGGGCCTATCGCGTGTTTCTGTGGTCCTCTGCCGAAGTCGTAGTTTTTAAATTGGCATTTGAATTGTTGAACCATCTACACTGATGCTTAGCAGGCAGTTAGTCCTCATGAATTGTACAATGTACATCGTTCAACTATATAGACCAGTCTGTTTATGCAATATACATGCGAACTATTAGACATTTTCGGTGCCTCTAGATTCTAGAACTTTTGACGCTTTCTGCAAGTTTATGTATGATCTGATTTTACGAACTTTATCTTTCTCCATTAAATTAGTTATTTCCATGCAAGACCTAACGGCATTGATACTATGTAGATTTTGACTATTTTCTGTTCACTCATCAACCGAGGAGCCATCAGCTAATTCTCGGAATTACGTCTTACGTGGTACCGAATTTCTGGGACAAGACTGTCGCCTGCGCTTCTGCTCAGTTCGTAGACTCGTGATTATGAGGTTGGGATCCTACAAGAATGGTTTCGCGATCTCGGACTTAGGAGCAAACCCTCTGTAAGTAGGTCTGAAACCTCAGTTGAGATGACCTCTGCATAAATTCCGAAATTTGTGTTATAATTGAGGTTAGTGTGTGAGCCAGGGCACATGATGCATTTGATGACCAGAAACTAGACCGTCTTCGGAAAAACTTAGACTTTAGAGCCCAGTCAGTTCTGGATCGACATTCGGAAAAGAATCCACTTTCTTAAAATTCCAATAACGTTGGAAGTGCTGCAAGTGCATATACTTAAGCGCCCTACTCGCTCGGTAGTAGTTGATCTGGACATAAATCATTCGATTGAACTGAATATATCGCGTAGTCACGTGCTTAACTATTTCGGAATTGAACTTGATTGGCGTCAAATTAGCTACACAAATTCAAAGCGACAAGGGCCGTGTCGACATAATAGCTTCCCTATCACTCTTGCCATATCGCGTGAAGTTACTTTTTTTTTTCAAGCATTTACTACAAAAAATTATTCACAGGACACCTAATTCACCCGTATTCTAGTCAATGGAAATTCAGCGGTACTTGACCTTAGCGTCTTCCAAAAATGCCCGACTTATCGGGAGGGGGTGCGTTCAAACGACTTTGTATTCTGTGATGGGCAGGGTGGCCAATTGGTTAAAGTCAGAGTACCAATATTGGAGCAGAGAGGTGCGGGTTCTATTCCAGTTCTGTGCGCCTGTTTCTGGTCAGAATCGGCAAGGAGGCCGATTGTGACCTCCAAATTATTTTCAGACAAGGAGGCAGATTCTGAAGAAAATAATTTGAAGCAGTTAGTCAAGATTTCATGCCTGCAACATGCTGCGGATGTTCTGCTATGTTAAGAATCGGCGACAGGCCTACGGCCTAATAAACGCAGAAACCGCTTTATTATATACATATATGATATAAACTCGAAGGAAGTCATGGTGGTGCCACTCCTGGTATTCATTAACAGTCGAACGTACCGTAGCTAGGTCAGTGGGTTCGCGTCACGTGTAGTCGTCGATTATGTCAGGACATATTCGATTTAATAAACTTGGGTATTATTGCAGATTAACTACATCCAAAAAAAGGGTGTTTTTTTTTTTAATTATGTTTTTTGGGGTGTAGATTACGAATCTGAAATCCATTTTTGGCGGTCGGCATCGGAAAACCGATTTTTTTCGCGACTTACTAACATGGGGGTTACGTAACTTACGTTACCCACTCACCTTTATTTACTAACATGGGGGTTACGTAACTTACGTTACCCACTCACCTTTATATAAAGGGTCGGATTGTTCATCGAAATTTTACAAAAAGCTCTTAGGTTGGGTTAAGTCAGCCAAGTTCCTTTTTTTAGATAGCATTTTGATCTAAAAGGAACCTGGGCGAACCAACCCAACCTGCGAGTTGGCGTTAGGTTGTGATCTCTCGATGTGGCAATGTATCTCCAGATTTATGGACAAAGAAGACGAAAATGTTACCCGTTGCAGTACAACGGGTAACAATAGGTTTACAGTCATTCCCAGATCGATTTAGTTCAAAAATGTTTTCCGATTTTTCGCCGATTTCGCAGATTTTAGGCATTTTTAGCGCGATTTTTGGGTCGGAAAAAAATCGGTTTGCCGATGCCGACCGCCAAAAATGGATTTCAGATTCGTAATCTACACCCCAAAAAACATATAATTCAAAAAAAAAAACACCCTTTTTTTTGGATGTAGTTAATCTGCAATAATACCTAAACTTGTTTAAGGGTAATTTGAAAAATTACTGAATATTGGAAAAGCTGGGCGCCGCTGTAAAAATTTTTATTTGGGGCAAATTTTTTAGTTTCGTCGTTTCCTTGTCTTCCTAGCAGTTGTAGTTAGTAGAGTAGCCAAGCCTTCGGATAAAACTATCATCATGCCTATTAGCGAAGAAACTATGTATTACGAGTCATTAGCTGTGAGGGAAAACGATCGCATTGAGCTTGTGAGAGAAGGGTGCAACAAGAAGATAAAGGGAGACATGGAAGATCAAGATTTTATCAGCATGATTGAGGGTGAGTTGAGAATTAATTGGCCTTCCTTGAATAAAACTAAGTAGACAACCAACTGATCCCAGTCAGAGAATCTACTCTTTGAAGTTTAATTTGCAAATATTCCATCGAATTTCATAGCCAATACGGATAGCAATCCTGACGTTCTGACGATACGTGCGATTTGAAACATTCCGGTCTAATTCTCGATTTTCTCATTTTACTGGTTCATTTCATTTTTAGTGAGCCAGCACGGATTAGTTAATCCTCGATTCGATATTGTGAAACAGGAGTTGCTAATCTGATTTTCTTGTCAACAGATGGTCAAAGCGTTTACAACGTTTGCGCTCCTGTGACTACTGTATTAGATATTGAAAATGAACAAAAATCGACAGGCCCTTTGTTATTCGAAACAAAACTCCAACAGCAAATTCAAGATTCTCGTTGGGTGCAGGAGATATTATCGAATGAAAAAGAATTGAAAGCCTTGTTAAGCCGGGACGACGTGGATTTCAGTCGAACTGCAGAGCCTGCTAGAATAAACGATGAAAAATTGGAAACTGTTGTGGAGCAAGACGAAGTCGTACTAACACCTACACATGAAGTGAAGGACAAAATTGATGCATGTTCGCCTGATGCACAGCGCATGAGCGATTGCAACATAAGCGGAACTGAGTCAGAGGATGTCGAGTTGATCGGTAACTAACTTTTAATCTTCAGTATCTTATTATTTTTAACGAGCCATATCGCGTTTTCTGTGCTGTCAGGTGACAACGTAAGTTGTCTGATGAAATTAAGAACCCACGATGCGCATATCGCGTCAAAGTTGGAGAAGGCACTTTGAACTTGATGGGTAAAATCCTTCCTGAAGCATTTCAGGAAAGGCTGAAGCACGTTAAAACAACTTCCCGATTTCTTGTAATAAGAGCTCAAGGATTTTGACTCGGTGCGAGATCGCCAAATTAAAACTGATTCTGGCCTAATTGAGAATGAGTCGTTTTATTTAGAATCTGCTCAGTGTTGTAAGATTCCCTTAGTCAGCTTTGTTTTCAGGTTGCCCGACGAACGCAAAGTTAGATTGAATCAAAAGCTTTGTAAATTTGATAAAAACCGGTTTAGATTTGACGAATCTTATGTGTGGAAGGGAGCGCTAAAAATTAGTTTCAAATATTCGTCCTGAAAGTTTCAGAGCAGTGGACGAACTAAGTTTTAGGGAATTTGACAAAATTTTCATAGGCTGACTTGACATGGAATAGGAGTTGAATTGCATCACTGTTTGCCCATTGCTGCTGGAATTTATAAAGAATCTATTTATTACATCTCATCACATGTGATAAAATTTACCCATTAAGGTGAATTCGACCATTTCCATTAAGAATTGATGAAGTTGCTCAGCTGCAAAGTTAACTTTTCATTCTTCTGCCCTCCATTTTTGCCAGGTCCTGATTCATAGCAAGATTACCATTGACTTTTTCAATTTCGTTTCAGATCTCACAAATGGTGCATTGCCGTCTCCCAATACTTCCGGCAATTCGGTGCCAGACGAACTGCTAAATTGCATTGAACAGGACCAGTGGCAAAAGAAGCTCGTCAAGCGCAAAATAGTGAACGTCGATGAATTGCTCGAGAACGTCGGAATGAAACTTCTTTTGCTTGAAAGTCCAAAGTCACTAATGGAGCAAAGTCTGGGCCACTAGAAATTTTTTCACTTTAACAAGATTTTAAGGGAAGTCCGCCAAGTTGGTCTGGCTGCCGAGTATGTATGTTCGCAATTTTAAGCAAATTCTCTTTTAATCTTTGCAATAGCTTTTAATAAACGATGTCCTTCGATTTTACTGCTGACTTTGATTACCTTGCTCCCTACAAATTTGGGCCTTATAATTCTAATAGTCTTGCGTGGATGTTAACTTCCTCGGAACAGTTGTGTATTAAGAACCAATTTGAGTTGAATGAGTTTGCCTGAACTGTAGTTTGACACACACTCGCACGTGTCTAGTGCACATTCATTTTATCTTCGACTTGCATAGTATCCAGCAGGACACAGAGTGGGTAAGTGTGAAGCATCGAAGTAATTTTTCAAAACCATGCACACAGATACACGTGCGCATCCGTTTTTTATCTGACCTAGATTCGTAAGACTGTTGAGCAGGCGAATCAGCATGTCTACTAAGAATGAAGCAAACTGAAATAATTTCAACTCCACGGGGTTTTCAACATACAAGATTTTAGCTCTGATTCTGTTCAGCATTAACAGAGTCGACCAATGACTACTTGCACAGGGGCGTTTTTGCTCAGGAGTTAGCTGGTCGGTCAGATAGAATTTTGAATCAAATATTTTGAACAAAGCAAAAAAAGACTAGGAGACGATGCTCTCTGCTAGCGCTCACGTAAGCCCGAATTCACTCGTACTTGATGCATACAGCCATTCAGGATATTTTGACGTGTTGCATTTTTTCCTGCCGTCAATTTTGCATTCACATAGAACTGAAAATCGTAGTTTGCCGCAATGATTCCAAAATCGTTGCCCAGCTAATGTATAGTTGGTACGCAGCTAAATTTCGGCACGATTGTACGTTGAACGTGAAGCGAGCAATGCTTGTGATTACCTGGTGTATATATACATGCCTCGGTACCATAATGGCAGCTGTTTCGTAAGAATTTGCGGTGGGCCCTCGTAAGCTACGGTAGTCCTTTCTAATGTTCAACGTGAATAATCAGCTCTTCATTCAACGACGTAATGATAATAATACTTTCTAAAACTGCCAAGTTTTTACTCATTTTGACCGCAGGGCAATAATATTTCTAGATATCTTCTTAAATTACTAACTATTGCAAAAACACCGAATAATGCTAAAGCTCAGTGATGAAAAAAAATACGTCTAAATGAGACTGGCACCTTAATGTTCCATTAGATACTAATTCATCTAATTATCAAGCATTTAACGTCAAGTTGTCAAGAGATTGAATTTTATTACGATAAATTTGCTAAAGCACAAAAACGCCTGGAAGAAGCAAGTTAGTGTGACGCTCGAGTTCAACATCAAATAAGTCATAAAAATGAAGTTTTAACAAGATTAAACTAATGCCACATTCCTACCTCTAAGTATTGAACTTAAGATACAGGTAATAAATAAAATGGAACCTCCAGACAGCCTGGGCACAGTTACAACGATACAGAAGCGTTGAGGCTCCACGACTCGAGGAGGAGGTATGGGCGGCTGCTTGCGCTTATTGACACGAGTCCTTCACATTGATTGAAAACATTAATAACAAGATGACAAATTTGTTGCGAACCAATCAGTCACCGAATCCAAAACTCTCTAAAATTTAAGAGAGTTTATCGGTTTTGGGCCCGAATAATGTTTTTTTTTTTATTTAACTCGCCACAATGATGTAACATCGACTGCTGTACCTGAACGTTTGTATTAATGCTGCCTCACAAAAAGTAGGCTTCAGATAATAACAGATAATCTAGAACTGGAAGAATTTGGCTTTAATAAAAAATGAAACCGAAATTAATGTGCAAACATAACCGCTCAGTTCGAAATATACGGCTTTAGATTCGTCATCTCAGCATTAACAAAAACAAATGTAATAATAGACTTCTCAAATGAAAAAAACCCACAAGTTTCCGACGTGTTCTCAGACACTGCTCTATAATAACAAAAATCAATACTATATTTTCTAAAGAAAACAACTGTACACGTATCCGTAGCGGCTTTTTTGGCGGCAGTCAACTGATCCAGTTATAAATCCAAGCCCATGAAGCTTCCATTCAAACTCCGAAACCCAGCAACCAACTGCAACATTAAACCTTGTGCGCAAAGCCAAAAGAATATTTGTTGCTAAGATGGAACTTGGAAAGAAAAAAATTAAGATCCTGAAAAATAAGACCAGGGAACCAAAGGTAAATTTTGCCTAATAAGAAATAACATACGGTATGATGTTTAAGATAAATAATGCAAACAAAGAAGCAGCAGGTGTAGGAACGACTCAACTTCTAACAAGACTGACACTATCTAGACATCGTGACACACATATCAAACCGCTTTTCTGCCACACTCGTAAGTTATCTAAAGTATTTCTGAGGTATCTTTCCACAACGATGATTATTGAACAGCAGCTGGACTGATGTAGTTCCATCGTTAGAAAGCTGCCTAGAAGTCTCGATATTAAGGACGAAGAACTCCAGAACTTGCTGCTACCGATGTTCATTCATCAGAGCACATCTAATTGAGCCAAACCTGCGTGGTAGCCACCACAATATTCTAGTAAAAATATAATTAGCGGCAATAAAAAGTTGACTTTCAAGCAAAGAACATGAAAATCAGACAGAAGGCAGAAAATCCTGGCATGAAAGAAGCTGATTTCACAGTGAGAAAGTAATGACGAATAAAAATTAAAATAAGACTACCTCACTCAATTCATACATAAATGTCCCCTTCTCTTTCAAATTCTGCAATCAGAAATGCGAGATAATGTAATTAAGGACACAGAAGAAGGAATGTTAAACATTCAAATCTAATTGGCGATTGATAAGATTTTCCAATAACTTACAGTTTGATTAACGCCTTGTACCGCCATATTAAAATTATACTAGAGAATCGCCATTAAAAACTGCAGAAGGTAGGAAAACCCCAAAAAGACGTGCTATCTCTAGATCATTTGATATACAATACAGAGAAATTAATGATTCACATCATCAGGATCTTCATTTTTCTACACACAAATATTACAGTGAACAATTGAAGAAATGACTGAAAATGAATGCGCAAAAGAACTAAAGGAGCCGAGAACGAATTAAAATAACTTTGCCAGTAGTTAAATTTCCAGGCACTGGAGGAAGACATGCGAAATTTGCGCATTCTCACAGTGAAAATTAATGTTTAGTAAATAACCAATTTATACGATGCCAGATGCAATCATTATCTCTTCTTTCATTAAACAATTAATAAATTTATATCAAGACAACTATAAAATAAGTACTTCTATATCCCCCAAAAAGTTTTATCCGTTATACATAACTAATCAACGAATGCGGCCAATCCTCGAAGGAAGTAATGCAAAAGGAAATAAATGAACCCCAATGACTTGAGTGCACATAAAATGTACTCATCAACCAATCAATGCAACCAATGCTCAACACTATTAGAGAGACAACATCATTAAGGCGCATACTGAGCCCTCAAAACAGAAATTAACTTAGCCATGATTGTTGTATCAAGTCATGTATGAATGAAGCTATATTATGGTATTCATGGGAAAGAATGGCTCAAGCTTGATTGTTGACAAGTTTAGCTGGTAGTACGCCATCCCGACAGGAACTAATTTACCTCGTTTACCCTTCAACTTCATTCAAATTTAGAAACAATCCGTAAATTTAGAAACAATCTGTGAAACAAATTTCTTTGTCAAATCTGTTCTATAAGCAGAAGTGCACGAGGTGTCTTGTATACATTTTTGTCCAGCCACATTTCATACTTGATAAAGGAAACTGTCTAACAAGCAGCGTTAACAGGCAGAGTTTTGCAGCAGCATACACTGACTCTTCCACCAGTTGGTCTTGAGAAGTTGAAGCGTCGCTGAGAGAAGCGAAGAGGAGAACTGCAAGCCATGCAGGGCGATTGTCCCTCCTATGCAGGCAGCTGCAGCTTCTTCCCCTTCAAAACTGAAGAAATAGCAGGCGGCTATTAATTTTTCTAACCATAATAGAGAGGAAGATTTTCACTTACAAAACGATTAAACAGGGATTTACCTTCGAGCCTAAACTTGACATGGCAAGCTTTCCATGAAAATTACAAGAATATGCTGGATTACATTTAAATGTGCAAATTCAACATTAAAATATTTCAATTCTGGTATGAAGTAAAACAAGCTAACTGTAAAAATTACCCAAGTAACACATAATAGCAAAGCATAACTTGTAAAACAAATAGGCATATCGAAACGTACGGATTAGAAAGTGGGAAACATGCTGAGAATAGTTCAACAAGGAGTTTTTCACAACTCCGACTATTGTCAGTGAGTAGTTTATGGAGGCAAATTCTGGTGTTTACCAGCAGACCTAGCTAACATTGAGTCCACTGGGACGCTGAGTAGACAGTTTATGAGTCACGAGGACACGAGCTCTCACTGGGCGGAAGCACCACTACTTCCAAAATGCTATACAATTGTATAAGACAGCTCCAGTATATATCTTTCTCAACCACAGCAATGTTGCACTCATTACAGGAACGCCTTACGGTTGATGGTTTTAGTTGTGTATACCTCTGTCTGTAAGGACTATGTTACTTACCACCCAGTTTTTAGACAAGTCTATTATGAATGCGACTATACTTATCCATTACGTTTAGTCATAGAATCCCAATTCTCCTCAAAGTGATTTTTATAAGAGATATATCAATCCTGTATGCAACTAAATAATGCTTCAGACACAATTATGAAATACATTGCAGGAAAGAAGGATGTGGCAAGCAGTAAATATTGTACCCTTAGTGATGTAGAGGTAGAAGAAGTCGCAGTACAAGACCGTCTGCACGACGCCAGCCAGCGTAGCGATCATGTCGTAGAAACCTTCGCTGTAGTATCGGTACACCTGACAAAATCATACGGAAACATGCTCAAAATGCCTGCCAATGAATAACCAGGTTATTGATTATCATTATCACTAAAACTGACTTAAGCCACAAAAATTGTATATTCACGTTATGCCAGTTACCAGAGTAAATATTATTAGCCAACTAGTAAATTCAATAAAACTCTAATGATGAAAATATCTTGTACTCGGCTTTAATGCACGTAAAGCTAGTTTAGTTATGGAGTAATAATTATACAGAATTTCTAAACTGACGATTTACACATTTTCAGAAGCGGACAGTCTTTTGCGGAACGAACATACCTAGTATGTAATGTACACAACCATTAGAGTTCTTGATATTAAAGTAACAAGAACTCAACTACTTTTACAAGCACTGTTGATTTTATTTGAATAAAAATATGTCAAGTTGGATGTCACAGATTTACGTACCATTTAATTTTCCATTCAACTACTATAGAGGAGCTAATCTCTTCTCTCAATGCTTACCCAGTTAACGATGTAGAGAGCCCTGTAGGAGCCCAGAGCAAAAAGGTAGTGAGAAGTGATGCTCTCTGCTTCCCCAGTCTTGGAGACCATGAACAGCTGAGGCAAGATTGCCACGGCCTCCAGGTAAATGCTAAACGTCCACATCACCTGAACAGCAAAATTACTCATGGATATAAAACGAACTTGTCATTATGAGAATTCATTACAGCGAATTAACTCTGATTATACAAATAACTTCTCAAATTTATGCAAGAAACGGAGTCCATAACTTCATGCAGCAAAATCACTTTTTGATACATGTACTTTCACTTATTGGTTCTGCAGCTTGCTATAGTTGAGAAATTTCTTACTTAAGTCACTCCCAGTAGCTTAATTTATTATTAATGTAGTAAAATATTTATTATATCAGCTGTGTTGCAACACGTGCTTATTTCTCATAAATATTAAAGTAGGTACATAGTTTTATATTAAAACTATTCAGAACCATCGACATCTGAAAAAGAACTGTACCATAGAGCAAGCATCTACCTCAATAATAGAGAACTCATGATTAATGATGAGGGCTAGGCCAGCAGCAGGCAGGATGAGAAATTCAAGGCGGAAGGTGTCGTGGTTGTGGTCGTATGTAGCCTTGAACTTGACGTACATCAAGTAGAGAGTGGCATATGCAGCAGCCAGGTACACAACCTGCACATAAGTGGACCTTATCAAGTAAGGGCAAAAATATAAAAACCTTTTTTATATTATCAGAGAAGAGGGAGATAAATCGCTCTACTGAAGTTATACACAAAAGAAACTAACAAGCAGCAAAATGGGCATCTTAGAGCAATTCATTTCAGGTTTTGCATTAATGAATATTGAGCTTAAGGTGATGATATCAGTCATTTGTGAATAGATCAAGTAATTGAATCATGGAATCAGACAACAGAAAAAACCTTGTGAAGACCACCAATAAGTTGCTTTTTTATTGCCATTTTAATACTTGATTTTCTTTGCATTGGTACTTCCAACAGCGCATATTATTTCCTCCTTTACAAGGATATGGATACAAGTTACATATATCCAGGCAATGATTATGTTGTACCCAATGACCTTTATAAAACTGTAAAAAAAACTTGACCTGGCTATACCTAAACTCTGTAGAAAAGTGTCTAGCAATGTAAAGAAGTCTTTTCTACACACCTAACTCTAACCCAAACCTACCGTGGTTGGGGTTTTTCAGAATGTCCGGTAATTTAGTACATTTATTTTTGTGTCCAGTTTTCAAGTACCGTACAAACTAGTTACAGAGTAAATAATCAGACGCAATTTTGTCTGGATTTTTAACCCCTGGCTGGTAATGTGGCCAATCCATCCAGCTATTGACCGAATCTCAAATATATATGCCTATAGTGTTATTCTAAATGATGAACCCAATTTAACAAACAAATTTGTATTTATTCAATATACACTTCAAAATGAGTACCTAGTTTATATGTACACCAATTGAGAGAGATTAATTTTTTGCATATTTATAAACGTTCAATATGTCACCCTATTGCAGCACAGTAAACATCCAAATGCTAGCCAAACTCGTCCCACACACAATAAAGCATATCTTCTGTTACAGAGTGCATTGCAGGAGTGATATGGTTCTTTAGATAAACCACAGTTGCTGGTAGAGGATGGACGTAAACAGATTCCTTGACATAACCCCATAAGAAATAGTCTCATGGGGTGAGATCAGGTGATCTCGGTGGCCAGGGGCCATACTTTCAAAACTCGCTAAGTGAACATAAGTTCATTTAGCTCTATTTGCTAGTCTATGATTGGTGGATTTTGCTTGGAAGGCAGTCAATGATTGGCTGATGAACTTACGATATCTTAATTTTTTTCAAAGTATAGGTCCAGAAGTGTGGTGCCAGATCTTCATTTCTTATGCGTCCTATCCTATGCATGTGGGATGAGTTTGGCTACCATTTAAATGTTTGCCATACATTAAACATTTATAAATATGTAAAAATATTTAATTTTTTCTTTCCATTGGTAAATAATTTATTCATTTTGAATTAATACTTGAATATATAGAAATTTATTCAAATGGATCCATCATTTATAATAACCCTGAATATCTGTAATTTTGAAATTTTCATCAGCAAAACTTCAATAGGAAAAAATGAAGAATTCTTAAACCTACAGCACCAACCTTCATTACACTGTTGTAAACTGACACAAAGTTTGTGAATAGGTCAAGGTAACGAGCTGTGAAGGTCAGAGCAAACAGGATCTGGGATTTGCCGGATATTCCTGCACAGGTGATAGAAATTAAGTCAACCAAGTCAGTTTATCATATATAATTGCAAACTATGACATAATCAACACTTGAGTACAGAGTGGCAAACCAGCAATTTTTGGAATCAGTTTATTTCTAATTTCCTCATTTAGTCAAGATTTAAACTAATTGATATCATATGTATGATAATGCTGGTATCATGATACTTTGCTGGTTGACTCATGGGACTCAAAATTGACTTGAGGACTTGTCTAAAAAATTCAACTTGAGATTTTTCTGAAGAACTCTCTGCTCTGCCACTATGCTCCTGAGTACTTAGTTTTCAAGTCAGCTCACACAGACACAAGAACACGTCATAGAGTGCTACATCATACATGACTTAACTCATACATGATCTGTGATTGGTTGGAGCTTGTTGGCGGGCGCCCAAAGCAATGTGGGTGATTTGGGGGGCCTTTTCTTTACTACCATTTTAATTACCATATTTATATGGTAACTTACCGTCAACCGGGGCTACTCGGGACGATTTTGAACGTTTTTCATTCATAACTTCTTAAATTAACATTTAATAAACATGTTTAAGCTCATTTCAAAGCTCCTTGCAAGGGCTATCCCATGGCTTCTCCAAAAAAAATCCATATGCTATTTGTAAGGTGCCACAAGCAAAAAAAGAGTGTCCCGAGTAGCCCCATCGAACAGGGCTACTCAGGACACTTGGAATAAAACTTCATTTTAAAAACATTTGAAGCATGCAGAGTGTACTCATCCATTACTAACAGTACTCTGAAGTCCTCCTCTTTCATTGTAGATGATGTAGAGGTAGAATAAATGACATTTTCTGTGATTTTTACTTGTTTTTCCTCCATTGATATGATATTACCAAATACATTAATTACCATATTATTGATGCGATATTACCGTATCCATGAACATGCCATTGAGCATTTACAACAACCTTGTCCACTGCAAGCTTCATATCAGCAGCCTTATAGCATTTTTCCTGTATCTGTAAGCTTAAAGGACAGCTTGTAATTTCACACCATTTCAATTGGGTTGAGTGAATTTACTATAAAAAAAAAAAGATCGTGAAAAACATACCTGAAACAGAAAGGAATGTTTTAGTGACAACCATCTTATGTTTTGGAGAAATAAATCATAGTTTAGGTCAATTACTTTTCATTCTATGATGCCTGGTGCACGATTCTATAGACATTCTATTCACAATTTTGTGATGACCGATGATGCACTAATTTTTCGATAAGTGAATTTTTTTTCACTGAGCAAGGTAAATGTAATCAATACTTATTGATTAAGAATATTAAGGTATTCTTTGTTTTTAATCAATATTTTTCTTAACTGGAACCTTTGCTATCTGAGGCTCTACTGTAAATGCATTTTTGGGGGTGTCCCAAATAGCCCCGGGGGGGTGTCCCGAGTAGCCCGCCATGCGGAAATGACCGCCATTTTTTTTTTTTTTTTTGGAATGAGATAGGCAAAATCTGTCAATTACGTTTACAAGCCGACACCTGGATGCAACTTTTATGTAAATAAAATTTTTTAATACGGTGAATTTTATTTTTACTACAGACCTTAGCAGAAGTAACTTGTCAAAATATCGTTTTTCACCATTTTTTCAGGAATTTTTCAAAGCTAGTAAATGTAGTATTTTTTAACTTCCTTTATACTACATAGATAGGAAAAATGTTGACATTTACGCCACTATATTTAGTTTTGCAATATTCTAATTAGTTTTGCTATGAAAACCGTTTTACGCTGTGTCGGAGGACTGTCCCGAGTTACCCCCGCCCGTCCCGAGTAGCCCTGGTTGACAGTAGCAAAAAAATAATCACCGTATTAAAAAGTTGTACGTACTTACTTAAAAGTTGCACACATGTGTAGGCTTAAAAATGTGATTGACAGAATTAGTGTACCGGTATCTAATTCCAGCACAACAGGGTAATAACTAATAAGGGACCCCCCTGGGGTAATAAGGGATATCCCAAAAATGTGTTTACAGTAGAGCCTTGGTTAGCAAAGGCTCCAGTTAACAAAAAAAAAAAAATCAACTGACAACAAAGAATTTTAATTAGATTTACCTTGCTCAGCGACTTGACAAAAAATTAGTGCATCATCGGTCATCACCAAACTGTGCATAGAATGTCATAGACAGATAGAACTGTTCACTGGGCAACATAGAATGACAAGTAATTAACCTTAACTATGATTTTTTTTCTCAAAAAATATGATGGTTGTCACTAAAATACTCCTTTGTATTTTAGGTATGTTCTTTACAATCTTTTTTCGATATAGTGAATTAACTTGACTCAATTAAAATGGTGCAAAATTACAAGCCATTCAGTAACTTACCTAACTACTGAAGAAATGCTACATGGCTGCTGATATGAAGCTTGCAGTGGACAAGGTTGTGGTCAATGCTCAATGGCATGTCCATGGATTAGGTAATATCACATCAATAATATGGTAATGTATGGATAAAGAAAATATAAAAAAAAACAAGTAAAAATCACAGAAAATGTCATTTATTCTACATCTACATTATCTACAAAGGAAGAGGAAGACAAGTACTGTTAGTAATGGATAAGCACACTGTTAATGCTTCAAACGTTTTAAAAATGAGTTTTATTTCAAGTGTCCCTTATTACCCCTTTCCCAGGGTTGGTTCAGGAGGCTTTTATTTTGTGTCTGGCATCTTACAAAAAGCATATGGAATTTTTTCAGAGATGCCATATGATAGTGCTTGCAAATACCTTTAAAATAAGCCCAAATTCATTTATGAAATCTTTCATTGTAAGAAGTTACCAACAAAAATGCTCAAAACCATCCTTTATTACCCTGTTTGATGGTACTGCACTTATCTGGCTTTTAGTCAATAAAAGCCATTCAAATAACACTAATCAAAACTACAATTTATAGGGTTTGACTATCAAACAATAAAAATATAGCTTTTTGAGATCTTGCTATAAAGTTGTAGTTAAATTTTATTGATATAAAGATTGTGCTGTGGCAGCTGAAAGCCTGAAATATTTTAAATGTTTTCCATCCTTATGAAATTAGATTAGAATATTCATACCTATTAATAATATCTAGCCACCACACTACATAGTACCGTCAAACGGGGTAAAAAGGGACGGTTTTGAGCATTTTTTGTTAATAACTTCTTACCATGAAACATTTCAGAAACAAGTTTAGGCTCATTTTATAGCTCTTTGCAAGGGCTATCCAATGGCATCTTCAAAAAAAATTCCGAATGCTATTTGTAAGGTGCCAAACGCAAAATAAAACTGTCCCAATTTACCCCTGGGAACGGGGTAATCCGGGACACTTGCAATAAAAGTTAATTTTAAAATGTTTGAAGCATGCAGAGTTTACTCATCCATTACTAACAGTACTTTGAAGTCCTCCTCTTTCATTGTTGATGATGTAGATGTAAAATAAATGACATTTTCTGTGATTTTTACTTGTTTTTCCTTTATTGATATTATATTACCATATTCATTAATTACCGTATTATCAATGTGATATTACTGTATCCATGGACATGCCATTGAGCATTGACAACGACCTTGTCCACTGCAAGCTTCATATCAGCAGCCATGTAGCATTTCTTCTGTATCTGTAAGCTTACAGGATGGTTTGTAATTTTGCACAATTTTAATTAAGTCTGGTGATTTCACTATAACAAAAAAGATTGTGAAAAACATACCTGAAACAGAAAATAATGTTTTAGTGACAACCATCATATGTTTTGGAGAAATAAATCATAGTTTAGGTCAATTACTTTTCATTCTATGACGCCCGGTGTATAATTCTATACAGCAATCCCTTGATTAACGCGGTTAATAAATCCCCGAGTTTTACCGTGTTAAGCAAAACCGCGCTAATCAAACTTAAGAATATATGGGAATAATTATAATGAATCCTCAAAAATAGCAAAGTTACATAATAATTTTTTTTCCACTAAAATTCATCATATTTTTTTCTAAATAATAGGGGAAATAAATTTAAAAAATGTGAATGAATTATCGTATTGTTTCCCGTGCGTATTGTTGACACGGGAAACCCTAGGTCTTCACCAATCTTCGTTTTCGTTTCACCATTATCAAAACGCTTAATTATTTCAAGCTTAGTCTCCAAAGTGATATTTTTATGTTTACGCGTTCCCTTTTTGTCCATAATTATGACGGTAATTTATCAAGGAAAATTATGTAGTTTGATAAAAATGAGCAGTAGATATGGCAGCGATCTTGACCAGTTGAAGGCTAACGAGTAACTAGAGCACCGGCATGGCGCACTTACCGGCGAACGTTGCTGAACTCGACCATTCGAGTTATGAACAAGAATGAACGAGACAAAGCGCGGTTAAACCGACTCTGTAGTCAGCACGAGTGCCTACGGAACGGGACCTTATTTAAAGAATTATTGGCTGAAATTCATAAAGTAACAACATTCGGCGAATTTTTCCAAAAGTCGTAACAAAAGTAACAAAAGATCTAATAAGCACAAAGTAACACTTTTGTTACGAACGTAACACCTCTGGCTAGAGGCGGGAAAATGGTGCGTTGTGAAAAAAAATCGCGCTAATCAAAACTGGCACCGCGTAGATTAAGGGTAGGTCGCACATTTTTTTTCCGCGGTAATCAAAACCGCGGTATTCAAAACCGTGCTAATCAAGGGATTGCTGTATACGTATAGCATTCTATGTACAATTTTGTGAGGACCGATGATGCACTAATTTTTCGATAAGTGAATTTTTTTCACAGAGCGAGGTAAATGTAATGAAATTCTTTGTTGTTAATCAATTTTTTTTGTTAACTGGAACCTTTGCTAACTGAGGTTCTACTGTAAACGCATTTTTAAGGGTGTCCCTAATTACCCTGGGAGGGGGGTGTCCCGAGTAGCCCCGCCATGCGGTAATGGCTGCCATTTTTTTTTGAATGAGAAAGGACAATTCCGTCAATTACATTTTCAAGCTGACACCTGGGTGCAACTTTTATGTATATAAAATTTTTTAATATGGCAAATATTTTTTTTGCTTCAGACATTAGCAGAGGTACCTTTCCAAAATCGCACTTTTCACACTTTTTTCAGCGATTTTTTCGAGATAGTAAATGTTTGATTTCTTGACTAGCTTTATACATAATACATACCGTAAAATGAGGTAGGTAGTAAAAATGCTGACGTTTACACCACTATTTTTAGTTTTGCAATATTTTGATTAGTTTAGCTGCTACAACATTTCTATGAAATGTGGGACATATGTCCCAATTTACCCCGCCCATCCCTTTTTATCCCGTTTGACGGTAGTTTGATAGTTGAATTTTTGTTAATAAGTTTTTAATCTTGCAGGTTGCACTTGCAGCCCAGTTTTGCATTTTTAAACCTATCAAATAAGAGAATTCATCTGTCAAGAATCTCAGCTTCAAAAATGGCTGGAAAGCTTATCATGGGCTTCATGGCTTGGTCCACTTGGAAAGAAGGCTAGCACAATTAGGAAGTGGAGAAGAAGCCCACCAGCACCAGTGTCCAGTGCAGTGAATTAGACAAAAATTCTGCAACAACCAACAACAATTCAGCATGGGATGATGGGTGGCTTCTGCTTAATATTTTAGATAGTTATAAAGAGTACAATTGGGCCACATGCATAGTGGAAGTCTATGAAGAGAGGTACTTATGTCGGTCCACCGCCGTGCGGCGGTCCGCGGTCTTAACCCTTCGCAAGGCCCCATGCCCTTGGCCCTTGGGCCCCTGTTGCAAGTTGCAATCAATGCAATGGTCTAAACTCAACGGTTCGACTCCCATGGTCTCATCACAACTCCCTTTAGAAATATGTAAAGTTTTGAAATTGATATATATATATCAATAAATATTTGAACTGGGAAATTCCTTAGTTACTTACGTTGGTTCCAGAATGATATCAATGACGTAAAAAATGACAATGACAATTATGACATCAGTTAAGAAGCTTCAGCCATGAATGATCTCAGCTCTGCTCAGTCCTTTTACCTCGTAATTAATTATGTTAGAACTTCGATGTTCAAATGTTGATACTACTGGCAAGTGTCAATATCACAATCAAAATTATTTCACCATCAGAAATATGTTATAGTATTAGCACAATCGAAAATATTATTCACAAATAACATCGATCGCAATACTAAACTGTTTTCATATTCACTGGGATCACTGCCTTAACTGCGGTGACGTCACACAACAACAAAAGAACACGTCACACAACATGACATCAAACAATGCAATATTTCGCATTTTCGCTGCACCACAAATAAATAAATGTGAATAATTAGCAATGGAAAATGTATTGCTGCAACATTTTGAGAGACTGTGCCTAAGCAGAATAATATATTATTATTATCATAGTAAATATACTAAGTAATAAAGTAGTTCCTTGAATGGCCACTGCTGGCGCTAGGATCTGGATGAATGCGCCATGTTTGTTTAGAATTCAAACAATTTGGTATCTTACTGCACCACAAGTTAATATATTTAAATAATTAATAATGGAAAATATGTTGCTGGAACACTTTAAGAGACTGTGCCTAAACAGAATACGATATTATTTTGCCACACAAAGTGACGGAATATAGGGATTTGGTAGGTTTCCATTCTAAAGGCTTTTTAATAAATATGGCAACATTTTGTGACTTTTCATTGTTGCTGACGCGTAGTGAAGTGTTTTGAGAGTCATGTGAAGGCAACAGAACTTACGTAACGCATGCGGTTTTTTTTATAGTTTTTCATTTCTTGATACGTCCTTAAAGTGTCGGAATATACCGCGTTTACCCTAAGAACAGGTTCTTTTGAATAACCTATGGTCTATGGATTGGCACCATGGCCACAAGCACAAGATTACAAATGAATTGAAAATTGCTGCCTCTGGAGGTTGGAGCCAATGAGCCATAAGATTTCAGTAACAAGTTAGAAATCCAATCCTGATTTGTAAGCTACGACCAGTCACCAGAGCTTGCTCACACCCTCAGCCCCAGGCCCCTGGCAGGCTGGCAGGGGCAGCCCCCCCACCAGGGCCACCACCAGTGCCTCAGGGCTCAGAGGGCTCAGCTGCCTCTTTAGCCTAGGAAGTGGGAACAATCAATTCTTGTTTGATAAAATATTAAACAATATTTGTGTGAAACTTTTATCAATCTTGCATTGAGTAACAATTTTCAATGGGACTTGAAAGTTGAAGAATCCCAAGTCTGAAGTCGGTAGGCCAACATTTGAAGTTTTGAACATTCCACAACAGGAAATCAGGCACAAAAATATTATATATAGGTAGCATTTGCAAATTGCAGGAATCAAGCTAGTATATTGAATTAGGTATATGCCTCTTTAAAGCCTTAGTCAACAGGAGAATAGCCACAACAGTCTTTCCTGTTGAAACTTGACCCGGCATTCGGTTTCGGTGAATAGAGCGAGTAAACAATAACAAGGTTTCTGATTCAATTATTAATAATACATACCAGCACAAGACCTTGTCGTCCATATTTTTAGAAGAAGAATTATTATAGCTAATAAGTGAGCTAGGTCACCACCAAGTCTAAAAATATTCATGTTTGCAATCCAACTTTAGTAACTGCAGGACGCGATACTGCCACTACGACCGTCTAATGACGTGGCTCCCAGACGTGTGATGAAAATTGCCTACAATGAGTAAAGGCTTCGATCTAAGAATTCGGGCTGTGTTGTCAACGGAAATATGTAATATTATGTAATATTCCTGGACGAGTCCTATCAAAAATGAACTTGCGCAGAAGAAGAAATCGATCTTCAAAATTTATTTGCATATAATGTAGAATAATGTTTGATTAATTTGGATTTAAGTTGGGTATAAGGAATCGAACACATCTTACCTTCATGAAGCTCTAGAACAGATGTAAATAGTTTAAACGCAACACGAGGTTTTGTTCTGCAGGTTTCTCTACATTGATAAATAATGTATTTTTAGGCTAAGAATGGCATGAGAGCTTGAATATCTGCCCTCTAACTTGTATTGGAAAAGTATAATTGAGCAAGAATTCAAGAATCGGCAACAGGGTTATGGGCCTATTTTCTTCAATGCCGACACTTCTATTCTATTCTAAGAAAAAGCTGAAAATTAGTTTAACCACTCGTCAGGATAGCCCAGGAGTTTGGTACGATGAGTAACAGAATAGGATCATTGGGTTGTATACACGATCCATCCAGCCAACTGTGTAGATTACTGTTTGAAATCAGTGAGGCGTCCGGGCGGTTAATTACGTACAATGGATACTAAAGCAGTAAGCTTCATATTGGAGAATTTTAATAAACTGTTAAAATTCTGCGATGTTCAGAGTCAGAGACAGACCCAATACTATAGCAGTGTCAATGTTAATTAGATCGTTGAACCTGCCGACGATACTGAATATCGCATATAATTCACACCTTGTTGCGGGTCTCGAACACAAAACACACTGCTCCAATTTTGCGCTGCTAAACCACTTGGCCTGCTCCTCGATTATACCAGAAATGTAGCATGAAGTGGGGATCGAACCCATATATTGCTGCTCCCATCCTTGTACTCTAAAAATTAGCCAAATCAATGGTGACACCGCTAATACTATTACCAATAATCATCTGCCGGATCTTTCCCGGCCCGCACTTTCACTTGCGATTGCCACAAACCGATCAGTGTTCGGGAATAAAAATTATTTGATCGATATTTTCAATGTTTGCAAACATACATTTCTATCAACATTTTTCCTTTGTACAATCAAATAACAAATAAAAATATGTATATTCAATGCAATATTGAATGCTCAGTTGTACACCGTATTACGAGTGAACGATTTAGAAAATTTCGTTTAGAATAAATCATAACTGAACCATCGCAAACTTGGTAAACATATTAAACTATATAAATTTACCCATATGCTTATAGCTTATATAATACCAAATTGCAAACTAGATAGGACAATATAATTTGTATATTCGTTCCTATTACATGGACATTAGAAAAATTATCCAACACTAATTATTTGACTTTAAAATTTCAGAATATCCGGAAACTGGGGTTGATGCCCAAATAATGATAGTTACTCAAAAATAAATACAAAATTCCAGAAGAAACAAAAATATTGACTCAACAGAAAAATATCCTGCAAGTCACAGTAAGCTTATTCTAGAAATTTTAATCCCTCGCAATAAAGTATTTGACAAGTAAAGGTAATAAATCAACTATACAACCGGTACGCAAATTTATTAATTTCTACGTAGCTCTTGAAACATCACAACGCCAGGTACCAGTTACGGACTGAGTGAACACGTATTGAAGTCACAACAAAGATTATAAATGCAGAGCTACCATTGAATTATTATTATCGTTATTTTATTGACTATCACCATAGTGGGGAGATTGGCCTGAGCATTATCATGAGACAGGAACATTGTGTGCTCTCAATTAACAAATATACGACGAACAACGCGGTAACTACATCAAATTATTGTCCTACATTGCGGAAATTACTTACTTCCAAGCAAAACACCAGAAATAACGAAAACATTCCACTAACAATTATATCCCGCGATAAAATACAGGTGCCGATAGCTATCAACAACAAACCAATTATTATAGAAAAAGTGCAAAAAAAATCGACCTAAGCACGAACTAAAACACCTGTTACCAACACATGGATTAATACACGATCGAGATTCTACTTATAAGTAGCAGGAATATTTTCATTTAACTCATGTCATGGCAACGCAGGCGTAAAAAACACGTACATTATTTAGACACAAAAAGTGGCGAACAATTTCCTTGATGCTATATTGTTCATCGAAGTACATCTTTGACTGAACCATTATTTGAACCATTAAATTATTAAAATGCTATGAACGAAAGAGCTCGAATTAAACATCATTTATCACGGTCTGATCCATAACTTTAATCCCATAAATATCAAGTCATTATTTTCCTACTTCTACCAAAGTTAAAACTTTAGGTCACACGCACACATGCGATTTGTAGCGCATTTTCGTCAGCACAAAAAAGAAATTGGTACAGACTCAACGAAATCTTGCATCTTTTGGAAAGCTCGTGCAATAAAAACTCGTACAAGCTCAGTGCAGGAAGTACCGTACTACTTATATCAACGAGGATGCAGACGAGAAAATTATCATATTTCAGGCGTGAATCTGCTAAAAAATGACCCGAGTCTGGTGCAGGGCACAGGGCAGTTTTGCTGCTAATAAACTTAGGTGATAATCACTTGACACGTGTAGACAAATTCGTAAATTGGCAACAAAAAATTCATGTATCGATGGAAACGATCAAATGGAAAACAAAAAAATGGGGCCAAGATATCGTTGTGAACGACACATGGTAATTATTATCAGGTCCGAACCAATATTAAAAATATTACCAATGGTACTGTCGTTATGTGCAAATAATGCCCAAAATTAGTAAATGTAAAATAATTGAAGTACACTCACGAGAAATGCAGGTCACAAACTTAAATAATAATTAGTAGACTAAAGAAGCCTTAGTAACAATGAAAAACGTACCCAAATTGGACTATACGGTACACTCAACAAATTTATATTTGTTAGACTAATTTATGGTGTATCCCAATCAAAAGTAGCCCTTCACCTTACAGAGAACAATGTTTTCCTCACCGCTGTTTACAAAATGATGTCTTTTTCTTTCCTAGTAACGCATTAGTTGCTCACGAGCCGGAGTAAACTTTTGCACAATTTACTTTCTAAACATAGCATGCATGCGAAAATTCGATTATTTTTGAGCAACTGTACTGGAATTTCTAGCTCCATACATTAAACATTAACTGAACAGTCATGTAATAACGATTTGAATTCGGATCTACGCTGAGTGTTACAACTCAATTGATATAAATACTAGGCAATATTTCACACACAGTTCGAGTATTGAATGAGTGAAAGGCATAAAACATGCATCAAAACTATCGTCAGATGACGTAAGTAGAATCCAGCACAACATATAAAGACTAGTTGAAATGCGAGAGTCACAATCATAGGATGTAGTGGTATATAAAACAAGCGTTGTGTCTTCGACTGGCCTAGCAGCAAAATAACCGTAAAATGCATGCTTGGGAGCTTATTAATTGTATCCCTGCTGATAAAATTAGGTTAGTTAATTGACAATATGATTTTAAAATGATTGCTATTCTGCAATACGAACCCGATGCCCATAAAGAGTACACAGAAGCCCCCACAAATCGACGTCCTCTAAATGCTCATTCATTTTACAGGCGGCAGTGAATTTAATTAGCATTAACACCAGGCAATTATAATTCAAATTATGTTTTCCGGGCCAAATGACGCTCGTCATCCCGTATAACTTTGTTTATTCCAAGTAGATACACTGTTGAATGAATAAAATTTTATTTGTGGAAGTTGACAGAAGAATTCGAAGTTTACTTCATTTTCAACATGATTCGAACTGGTTTTTCAATGGTACAAAGCATAATTGATCACATGATATAAAATGATGTTAATAAGACCAGAGAGCATAACGCAATAAACTTCCCACACAGTGACACCTCATATAGATCAATTTATATCAGTCACTATTTGAACTTGGAATGAGATGAGTCCCACTGAATACAAACATTTCATTCGGTGAAAAATGCGTGTTTGTTAGCCACTAACATGAATGCTAGGGATTGGTCCAACATTCCTCGTAGGTTGCGTGCTGATTAGTATATTAGCTGTCACCAGACTCGGCCAGTAAAGGACTTAAGAAGTCGTTTAGTTTGGCGTAGGCGGCCTCGAGATCGTCGTTGACGACGACCAGGTCGAAGTTGCCGGGCTGGTGGCCGTACGCCATCTCGGCCTCGGCCTTCGCCAGCCGCAGCGCAATCGCTTCTGCCGAGTCAGTCTGGCGACTTGTGAGCCGCTCCTTCAGGTGCTGCAATGATCAAAATATCGTGAAAATATCAAGGACTTATTATGTGGACCGAGTGGACGTAAAACAGGGTCCGGCAAGGAAGAATTGATGATTGCGGTGGGAAATGTTGAAATAAATCAGGAAACGTCTCTTTGATTTGTAACAGAACGACCCGTTTATTATATACGAACACACAACCCACAGAAAAATGGCCTTGAAACGACGCTTAATCAACGTTGATTCAACGAAACAAGGTTTAATTCAACGTCTATGTCTGGTGGGTGTATTCTATATCAACGACGTTTCCATTGCTACAGAAATGACGGCTCCAAACACGCAGAAATGCCCACTGTTTAACCCCATCCCTCTCATATTGTCTGCTCATATCATCCATTCTTCCCTGCCAGACCCTGAATTCTGCGAACGTAAGTGATGCATGCTGAAGGAATGTTGACCTTCAATAATTATTCTAATCAGATTGCAGGAAAAATAATCATACACATTTCACATTATTACGAACGAAAATCCCTTCCTCTTCTTACACACACAGAGTTAGGAAATAGGATTATATTCTACGGATATATGTATCATTTTGCCAGTAATTTCTAACCGGGTCGGTAATCAAAAATTTTATCTTGAGATTAACTCCCAGAATAAAAATTCAACCCAATTTCCGAAAATTCAACCCAATTTCCGACCAGGAAGTAACCCGCTTACCTCGATCGACGGAGGGAAGATGAACACGTACACGGGGACGTACTGAGAAGTTAGAAGCTTGCTTTGCTTCAACTGAAAAAGAAAACACCAGTTTAATACTAACTGATATGAGCACTGGAGTCGAATATGTACATGTGTCTAGCCTTCAACGAGGCGCGTATATAACGAGCAATCAGACATTTAATTACCGGGAATTAGAGTCTCGAAATAGCGACACTTTTTTCAAGTACCTACATTAAAAACCACATGTGACGGTGAAGGTTGGAAAAGGAGATTATTGCTGGACTGGAACGTCTCCGTGACAACGTTTAAGCCAAAACGTACAAATGTGCAAGTGGGGACGTTATAAAAGAAAAACAATTCCTAATTGGAAGAGTTATTCCCGGTTACATATGCTACACAAAAGGAGACACTTCGAGGTGGAAATCGATGAAAATTAGTGAGTAAGAGCACGCCCTGCACGTCATGTCCAGCACTCACCTGCTGCACGTCATGTCCAGCACTGACCTGCTGCACGTCATGTCCAGCACTGACCTGCTGCACGCCCTGCACATCGATGTCCAGGATGCACCACTGGCCGCTCTCCAGCACGTCCAGCAACGCCCGGTAGCTCGTGCCGTAATGATTGCCTGAAAGTTCAACAACTTGATGAACATTCATTTCAAAGAGGTGAGCAATGAACACATCACTGCAATATGAAAAAAATTCGTGATGATAAAATAATGAGAAAATCATGCAGATATGATACAATTAATTACCAACAGTTAGTTAGTTTGATAGTTTAGTGGCCAAATGTTTACTAGCGCTTCAGCTACTAGCTATCTCGCACCGAAAGTCAAGATGAACATCACCATAGAGGTGAAAGGTCTCAATTATTCATCACCCACAAGGGGCGGAAGGTCTCGTATGTCAAGCCCGCTGAAGCTGGCTCGAAAGAAGCAGCGTTAGCATCTCAAAAGAGACGAAGTGACAAGGAGGGACAGGTGAAAAGCAATAGAAACGAAGACACTCGAACAAGAGGTCGCTTACACGGGACGTCGGCCGCCCGCACGAGAGAGACAGAGAAGGGAAATGCAAGGAATCCTACCTACATAATAACTTAATGTAAGGAATCCTACCTACATAATAACTTAATGTAATGAATCCTACCTACATAATAACTTAATGTAAGGAATCCTACCTACATAATAACTTAACCCTACAACTGAGACCTACAGTTAGACACCGCGAGCTCAGCGGTGGGGCGCTCAGGAACAATCCGCCTAGGAACGCGAAATCCCATAGGACTTCTGACGAGCACAGACACACGTCAGAAGTCCCCCCTGAGGGGTACCAATAGTTAGAAGAAAAATGACTACAAAGGGGACATTAAGAGACAATCAATACAACATCTAGTTTCTGTCCAGTAACTTTCGCGGATAATCAAATTTTTTAATATTATCACGGAGCGACAGACGCACTAAATTTTGGTCGTAGATGCCCTCGGCTCACCGCTGTACATGGCAGTCTCAAGGAAGGCCCCGGCCTGCAGCTGTCGCGTGAAGGTGTCCGTGTCTATAAAGTGATACTCGCGTCCGTCCACCTCGCCGGAGCGAGGCGACCGCGTCGTGTGTGACACCGAGAAGCCGAAGCGGTCAGGGTGGTCGGCCATGAGCTTCTTGAGCAGCGTGCTTTTGCCTGCGCCTGGCATCAGATATCAGTGACAAGGAAATGATGAATTTGTCATTTGGTTTCTACGCCTCACATGAGATACCGATATTGGGACAGACAGACAGACGGGGAAATATCTTATTTGTTATTCGTTTTGGCTCGCTAAGTACCATTAGTATGTGTTTTGGACGTAGCAGTCTCAGGAACCACTACACATAGACTTGGTTTTAAAGTAAATAGATAAAGATAAGGTAAAGAATAATTGTCCTCCCGTTTTTTGAGCGATTAGTTGATATTCTCTAAATTTATATAATCTGTGACTCTTATAATGTAGGTTATAATTTAATTATTAAAGCTTACAATGAATGACGATCTGTCTAAGTTGAATGGCTAGTATGATTAATAAGTTGACATGAAATATAACATAATGCATTTTTGCTTAGTGCACCATGAAATACATTAATTACTTATTTATAAAGGCATTATAATGAGGTGCAAAGAAATATTCTCGCATGTCACGACCAGATGTAAAACTACCTATATCACACTTTGTTGAAATATTTATTCCGCTATGTAAATAGAAGGATGATTTTTAGAATAATTTGTTACTAAATTAAGTAGGTAAGGCAGTTCCAGGCAGCATAAATTCTGCCAGATTATTTGTAAGGAGAATAAAGCTATTTTCTCTCACCCGACGGGCCGCAGAACACCAGAGGTCTGGGAGCCATTCTTTTCACAGCGGCCACCGAAAACAGACGACTAGCTGCACCTGAAATACCGTATAATTTTTATTAGCAGCAACACTTTCAGCCGTATTAGATAATTAGTTTTATTGGGTACTTGCTTTTAAAAACAGATTTTATTATTATAGGAAGGCTCTTCAATGGAGTGGTGCATGCATGGTTTAGAGAATTCACGCAGCTATTCTGAATTTTAAATGAGAAGCAAAACTAAGACAAATAATGGCAAGTTATAACGTATCATAACCTTTATAGCCATTGAAATTACATTGTAATGGCTTCCAAATGTAATGGTTGGCGGTAAACATTAGATCTTAGATAACCTTTTTTACAATTAAAAATACCATACCACTTTGAATGCATGCAAGCTGTTCAGTAACTACCTCAGAGAGGTAACAATAGGATCAGAGGTAATCCTGTTGCTAATTTCATTCTCACGCCTGCAAGTGTATGTTTTGGTTACAAATACAGATTGCCATTGCCCGATGGATTACAATATACGAATCATTGCTAAGAATCTGGAACGAAACATGTTCCACTTACAGGGTCTACTATAGCAAAAAATATGCCCAAATTCTTTGTATCAGCTCGTACATATTAAAAACAATCATTATTACGAACGATAAATTAGCTCCATTAAATTCAGTATTCCGGCTCGAATATAGAAGAAAAAATCCCGATGCAGTTAACAAGGAGAATAAAATTTCTACATTTACACCACAGTCATATTTAGCTTCATCACTCATTACGGTAATAAGACTTCGGCTCGTCAACGAAATTTAGCAAGGAAGCTCATTCGAGTGACAACTTGTAACGAAGATGTAAGTGTACCAATATCACTTATTTTAATGACAATAAAACGTCAAAATAAAATTTCAAGAATATAGTTGTAGCATGAAGTGCTGTGGGAATGAGATTTTAAACTCTTCGAAGATTCACGGCAATTTAATTAATATTTTATATCCAATGGAAATTGCAAGGAATTCAGTCAAGAAAGAAAGTTTAAAATAAAAAATCAACAGAGATTATAGTTCACCAGTACGGATAATTCTTTCCTTACAAGAATAAGTCACACGCGTTATTAATTTTTTCAGGCCAGAGTCATAATGCTACAGGAGAGACCAGCGCCAATGACGCAGGTTATCAAAGTACATACCCACACAAATTAATAACACATTTCTCCTTGATTAGATTATTTATATATAATATGCATGCCATCCTGAGTTTAATAATAATAAATAATGATAGCGGTTTCAGCATTTATTAGGCCGTAGGCCTGTCGCCGATTCTTAACACAGCAGAATATTCACAGCTTGTTGCGGTCTCGAACTCGCAACTCACTGCTACAATTCTGCTATGCTTAACCGCCCGGCCTCCTTGCCGATTCTGACCAGAAACTGACGCACAGAGCTGTGATCGAACCCGCGCCTCTCTGCGCCAATCTTGGTACTCTGAACTTTAACCACTGGGCCACCAAGACAATGCGCATAAATATCGTAACCTAAAGACAATATATATCTGTAAGGTTAAATCCAGATTGGCAAGTAATTTGACATTTCTAAAACATTTGAAACCTTTACCAAGTCATTTATTAATTTATATTATCAAGTTTTAAAACTGAGGAGCATGAAAGGCAACACCCTGACATATTTAGATGCTCAATCTTACACTGTTCTTACAGACTCGTTCAATATTCTTAAGTATTCAATAATAATCCTTAATTTCCCGGTATTATTCAGAAAGGAATAAGAAGGCGAAGTTAATGTATTTGCGAGAGTGTTACCAACATGTATAACTTGTAATACAATTTGCACCGCGAAATACTTCAGGTCATTATTTCCGTGGTACTTGCTTCGATTGTTAATTCAATTTATTAATCTTTACTTCATTTCCATCGTGTATGTGAAATACTTCAGATCATTATTTCGGTGGTACTTGCTTCGATTGTTAATTCAACATATTAATCTTTACTGCATTTTCATCGTGTAAAAGTTGAAATCTAAGATTTATGGCCTCATAAAATCTTTCTGATCATAGTTGCGCGTGGTAATGCAAGATGCGACAAGACGCGCATGTATGCACGCACTGGGCGGCAGCTCGCGACACACTGCAGGCCACAAGCAACATTCAACCCCAAGCAAGACAGCCGAGTTCTGCCACAAATTCAAACCATGAGGCTAAACTAATTACTCAATTCAACGCAATAACAAAACTACACACAATTGAAATAATTAACTAATGAACTAAATATAACCAGAAATTTGAACGTGAACTAAAAGTATTTTACGATAATTTTCTGCGTTGCTATGAATAGATTTGTCATTGAATTGCATTCCACAAAGAAAAACGGTACTTCTAAATTAAACTTAAAAACAACTACCCCCTTTCTGAAACCCAGGAGGCTACATTTTTTTCCTCTACGCTAAATGGTGTCCAGACCAGAGCGGACCCGCCCAGCAACAAAATAATATTGCGTTCTGTCTTGTGTCAAAATATGTTCTGATATTGCGTTCTGTCAAAATGACTTTCTTGCGTTTCTGACTTGCGTTCTGTCAAAATATCTTGCGTTCTGTCCTGCGTGCTTAAATTCATGTAGTACGATAATTTGGCATGAAACAAAATCAACGTGCACTCAGTAACGACATTCTGACAAACACGCAATGTCACGGTTAAGTCCTATAGGGTATGACTGAAATTCACTTAAATCTTCACGACGACCGTGGGTTGAAGAAACAACAAAACTTAAGTATTTCATCAGTAATTGAACCGATTGCTGAAGAAATGCAAGATGTTAGACTGTTTAATTATAACAATGTCGCGGCCATGCTGGTAATCTTGCATGGCACAGCAATATCGCGTGTCGGACGCTCGATACAGAATTCGATCGCGTTCATCAATAAGTAATCTGAAAGCGGCCCATCGCCCTTCGCTAGATAATCGAAGTCAATTCACTAATTGATTACGATTCTTGTCTGGCTTTATTTTTTCATCTGTCGGTCGGATTCATCTAATGAACCCGTAGCTCACTCCTTGAGAGCTTATGGTGCATGCAGAAGATGCGTAAATCTTAAAGCAGCTTGCATATTTTATAAGAGAAGCAAGTTAGTAGACCAAATACGTAAACCAATACCACAAATAATAACACTTTGATGCGTTGACACGCTAGAATTTGAAAAAGAGAAGCAGCATAAATAACACAAAGCAGAGGTACACGAGTTAGATTAAATAAGGTAAACGCCTGAGAAATCCTCAAAATATATTTTAGTATGGTGTAGGCCTTGACTTTTACAAATTGTGAATTGTTTCCGAAGGAATTTTAACCCATTCTTCAGTTAAAACTCCCACCAGCTCTTCCAGATTCGATGGCGGCGGGAATCGACTTCCGACTGGCATCTCTAAACCGACCATGAATGTTCGATATTATTCAGGGCCCATACTTTCAAAAAAAATTAAGAGATCGTAAGTCCATCAGCCAATCATTGACGTCCACGCAAGCAAAATCCACCAATCATTGACGTCCACGCAAGCAAAATCCACCAATCATAGACAAGAAAATAGAGCGTAAGTACTTACGTTCACTTAGCAAGTTTTGAAAGTATGGCCCCAGGTCTGGTGATTGTGGTGGCCAAATGAGAGACTCAACTACATTAGACTGTTCCTCGTGCCAACAACTCCAAAGTCTCCAATTGTTACGGATCGCGGTATTATCATCTTGAAAGATGGCGTTCCCCTCGCCTTCGGAAACAGTGCTTAAACCATTGGAATAAATTGGTCCCCCAAAATTCCTAAATAGTCACTGCTGTTGACTCTTCCATGAAGAGAAATCATTGGTCAGTCAGACTTTCAAGAAATAACACCCAGGATCATCACAGATCCCCCGCCATGTTTGACAGTTGGGAGGAGGGAATAGGGATTAAATGACTCTTTAGAGTTTAAACTGTCTCCAAACGTAAACTCGGCCGGAGGTCGGGAATAAAGTAAGCTATGTATCGTTAGAGAAAATCATATTTTTCCACTGCTGAGGGACCAGTTCTGAAGGTTCCTACACCACTCTAAAAGCTTTGAAGCATTTGTAGGTGAAACCGGAGGTGTTCTAATTGCAGCTCTTCCGTAGAATCCAAATCAGTGCCGCTTTCGGCGGAAAATCTTTAATATATAGAAACTGTTATGTACCTGTATATTGGGGTCTGCAGCAATTCTAACAGCCGTGGTCTTTCGATTATCCCTCACAATTCGATTTAGTACCGTCTGTCTCAAGCAACTTCGGCCAGACCTGTGTTTTGCTGAGGACGTTTTTCATTCCCTTTCAAAAGCACAAAAGCATTCATTACTTTTGAGAAAGTACCTCTAGAAACGTCAAGGCCTCTTTGAAAGTTAGAGGATTGCCATTTATGGGTTAGGGTATACGTTAGGTGATAGACAAAGAATTTACTAAAAATATACGTGAAAAGATAAAGTATCAATTAGCCGCAACAATAAACAATAAAACATAAAATCTGGCGATTTTTATATCTTTATAACATGTTCAAAAATTACGATGTCAAAATGTCAGGCGTTTCCCATATTTTGTCAAACCCATGGTATATAGTGATCAATTTAAAAAGCAATAATAGTTAATATATAGAGACGCCATTGTACAGTTCACAATTTTTAAAACAAACACATTACGGGTGAGATACTTGTTAGAAACTGCGATTTATAAGAAGCCCGAGTGAGGAAATACATCCAACAGTGTCATACGCAAAGCACACTTAAGTTTACAACGTCACTAAGTTCTCAAGTCCCAGCTGCCTCCGAAACGTTCTTATCAGCAAAGCTACTCATATTAGAGGTCTATTTATTACGTAACTTTATATAATTCAGAAACTTGATTGTCTGGAAATAAAACAAAGAAAAAAATTCAATTCCGCAACTAAGAAAACTCCATGCAAACTAAAAATTGCAAATTTTTCCCATTTTAGCTGTCAGGTTATATGGATTTTGCCTAAATTATTAACAGAAAAATTACGCTTCAAAATGACAGTTGATCTTTAATAATAATTAAACCAATTGAAGAGAGGCATTCATTTTTAGGGCATTCATTTTTTAACAACAGTAGGCATAGGTATGAAAGCCGAAAGCTTTCTTATTATAGCAATCTTATAAATATTACAGAACGTGTTAGCAGAAATGTTTAAAAAACTATAAACCTGTTCAAAAAAACAATCGGCTGGAAACTCAACGCCGTACTCAAGACTAGTTTCGAAACGCAAACAATTAAAACAAAACAAGTTGCAAATACTTAGATGGTTAAATGAAATAAAAGACTTACTGCGGCTCCAGACCAGCACAGAAGCCATAGTACAAAGCAAGCGTAGCTGCACAGAGAAGGACACAACGACTCAACACAATTAAAAGACGATGTTGAACTTAAGAAGTCGTAAGTTGAACACAGACCAGATGAAATTTGACATGACAACATTGGAAATGAAATACTGACCATCAAAAGCGAATTTAACAAATTAGCCGAACACTAAAAATGAAACGTGAATACACGACAGGCTGAAATCATAAATGGATTCAACAAAAAGACATAAACATTATTTGATCACGAGCATATCCTAATAGGAAACAATCCTTCGCAAATTCGTCACCAAAAAAAACTCGCGAACCAATTAAATTCCAACGGGTATTTCAAAATTGCTACTGAAGGAAACAATCATGGTCCGCTCAATGTTTCAGAGAAAACCTAGAATGATACATTTATGTATTTATGTTATTATTTATGAATGATGTATTTATGTTAGAAACACTTATTAAAGTTGAGCTTTTGATTGATAAATAACGCCCAAGTTAGTCAATATGAAGGCAGGCTTTGCGTCACATAGCAAGAAGTTTGAATGCGATGCATGCTTAATTGAATCGATTGCGACAGCACAACATGAATCATCAAATTGAAATGCGAAAATGATGAAGCTTTTACAGCTAGAATAGACGCCAAAACCAATTTCATTTTATGTGACATCAATGACACGATGCACATTTGAAATTTGATCAATCCTTATACCTCATCTTGCTATAAGTGTTACATTTTCACAAGTAATACCAACTAACATTTTAACTTGATACGATTCTCGATTTACGGAGAGCAGCACAGAAGTTGGTCGTGCAGCGAGAAGAATCAAATTTACATCATAATTTCAGGCGTGTTTCAAACACACTGCAAGCGTCGCGTGACGCGTGCTCATTACCTTCGTCCCATCAGCACTGAAATTTATAAACTAATACCTATAGAATTAAATATGATAAAAAGCATATTGTAAAATGAATAAATCAAATCAAATAAATCAAACGTCAGAACGTTCAAACTATAGTACATACCTATCAATATTATAATTTTAATCCGTGTGATATTTCGTTTTTATGTCGCCTCATTTAACTGTCGTAGGTAATAGATACAGATTTACAAATAACCAACCTTTGAAATAACTATGAAACAATTATCATCAAACAGTTTAAAAAAAGGAATGTATTTAAGGACATAATGAATGCTTCGATATGATGAACTAGATTGAGTGTGTATAGTACATATACACTTAACCTTTTACAATGGATCAAAAGATGACATTGCAGTAAAAATTTTAGGAGAAAAGAATCTTATCAGCACCTTTGAATGACGTTAGAGGTTTTTAATTCTAAAGAAATATGTCACAATAATTGAAATTTTAAGGATTACAATTCATAGAAAAATATCAAGTAAACTCGAAACAGACCTCATTGAATATTTTGAATGAAATTAAATGTTATTCATTTCCAATCATTTTGCCATACATAACTATAAATTTAACGACTGCACGTGCATATAACTATCACGATGCATGAGCAATTTAGACGATCAATATATGGCTATTCTGAAAACAGCACAATGTACAGATAATTCGAGGACATTTTTTAGAAAGCCTTGATTGTTATTTTAAATGATGAACTTGGCACATATTACTGTATATAGGTAATATATTATGGTATGTTAATTAATCTATATGTAGATCATGTTTGCTTCTACTAATTTACAACATTAAAAAGATGAAGACAAACATTTGAACTGAAACTGTTGCCAATTGCAGGACTAATTTGTACTATCATAATTAATAAAAAGTTTTGCTTCACAGTAATTTTAAAAAATTTCAGCTGGGAATAAGTCATTTTTCCTATTTTCCACTGAAGAACTTGAAAAAAGGACCATAAGAATGGGTGAAATTGGCCAAATTTATTAGATAGATGTTTTTGTCCTATTCACAGATGGCTTCTGTTCAATTTTTCACTTCAATTGCAAAAATGTATCATTAGGCCAATTTAGATTTTCTGGCATGGTGCAAATCTAGGATTGGCAGTACTGATTGGTCATGGCAAAGGGCACTCAGTCTAGGTCCACTTAATAAGATCAAATGTATGATTTACAAAAGTCTCCTGACATAGATTGCTAAATAAAATGTTATAAAATCTAATAAGAATAAATGCATATTCCAAGTCTAGAATTGCCCACAAAATGTTTCTGAAAATAATTGCATGTCATAAAGTACCAGTATTGCGTCAAGATGGCATCAAATGCCATCTTGCCCTGAACAATGTACAGTGCAATGTCTGACAGCAAGCTCCCAACTTCATCTTGTCATAACTTGTGATCTGTGCAGCATGGAAGGATTTTGCAGCCTACAGAACAAAGATATTTTACTGCTTATTTCTTCATTTTTTAATTTACTTAGTGAATAATGATTTGTGTATGGTGTATTGAATACATGTACTTTGTGTTGTATTGCTCAGCCAACTCAGAGAAACTGGCAACTTTCCCATTTTTGGTACTTTGACATTGACACTTGTGAAGTTATACTTCATTCTAAATATAAAATCTTGAAAAATAACTAAATTTTAGATAATTTATTTGAATGTAACTTTACATTTAATAAAAATAATTTCAATTAATTGCTGTCTTTGATCTGAGAATCTGAGAATTATTAGTCCCTACCGGTACTCCCCCAAAGTCACTACACACCTCCAGCCCCCCAGGGGGGCCAAGACTAGGGGCCCAACAATGATAAGTACTGTCAAGACAAATAAGTACTGCCAATCCTTTAGCTTGAAGAGCACCACTTTCTGATGTTCACAGGTGATTTTTAAAAATTGCTGGTAAAAATAGTTTTTCTTTTTTTTCACTAGATAAATAGGGTGAAATCCATGGTGCATGGGATTATGGGAATGGGTTAAATTGGCCAAGCGTGGAAAACATCTACCTTTAGGGTAGCAACTAGAACTTTCCTGCCATTTCAAAAACTGCAAGATTTCTGACAGATGAATCAACTCCTACCTAATTGTTAAGGAAAGTGCACGATCAGGCCGCAAGATTCCAATTGTATTAAAAATTTGTAGTGTTGGAGTTGTGAGATTTGAGAAACAAGTAGAAAAATTCCAATACTGGCCAGATTCATGGCATTTTTATCTGGTTCAAAGGTGGCTTCTGTCTAGTTTGGAGACCATGAAAGTTAACTCGTCCAGAAGTGAACAAAAAAATGTTTTATCAGATGAATTACCTTTATACAATTTTTGATAAGATAGCACAATTGAGTTCAACCTTTTAAAACTTACATATAATATATTATTGGAGCTCTAAAATCTTGGCAAAGAGCTAATTCAAGTAATTGCTCATAAAATTGTACATTCCATTAGAGCTTTTCAGATTTTAAACAAATATTCTGCTTATTTATACTACAGCAGGCATGGAATGTATATCTACTTGGCAAGCAATGACTGAATTTTTTGAGCAGTGGTTTTATGGAATTGCAAGCCATGATTCCATTTCTTCAACCTGTGATTTTTAACTACTGATAAACTTACAAATGTAATTTTGATAAGATAGCGCAATTGAGTTCAACATTTGAAACACATATAATATATTATTGGAGCTATAAAATCTTAGCAAAAAGCTAATTCAAATAATTGTTCATAAAATTGTACATTCTATTAGAGCTTTTCAGATTTAAAACAACTATTTTCTGCTAATTATATTACAGTAGGCATGGAATATATCTACTTGGCAAGCAATGACTGAATTTTTTGAGCCATGGTTTTATGGATTTGCCAGCCATGATTTCATTTCTTCAGGCCATGATTTAATTTCTTTGAGCCATGAATTCCATACCTCAGCCATGAAAAGCCATTCACGAGCCAACAGCCTCAAACTTTTTACCAAGTCCTGTGTATGTGTTACCTCTAATCTCTAATTTTACACTAAAAATAGTCAATATTAACACTTGTCTTAACATATGACTCAGGATTGGAAATCCTACTTGTTTCTGAAATCTGGCAGCTCCAAAGTGACAAATCTAGACATTTGGAATCTAGCAGCCTGATTGTGTACTTTTGTTAACAATTAGACAGAAAGCATTCATCTGACAGAAAGCTTACAATTCCTGAAATGGCAGGAAAGCTCTAGTCATGGCCCTATTATTTATTTATTTGCCTAAAGGTAGATGTTTTCCATGCTTGACTTAAGAGGCAACTTATCATGTGAAAATGCCAGGGTGCAGAAGGTGGAAGCAGCGTCACCAATATATGGATTTTTAAGCCCAAAGCGTCGCCAACCATTTTCAAGATGCATCGCCAAGTAATTTTTGCTGAAAAGCCATTTACGCAGAGTAATGAAAAACTATTTACAAGCCACAAACTTATTTACAAGTTTGCATGCATGTGTTACGCCAATCAACTAATTTACCCTAAAAATAGTCCAATTGTACAGCAAGTGTCAACTGAACATGTGATAATGCAGTCTGACCACTCTAATGTGTAAATGTGACTGCAACTACATTTTGTTTACATTTTTTTGATGGGAACTCATCGCAACAGATTCCCGGACAAGCTTTACCTCGTCCTGATCCATCCAACGTACCGGAAACCAGTATGGAATTCTGTATAGGTAATATATTATCATGTTAACAAAAGAAAATGTATCCAAAAATTTACCACCTTACACCGAAGTGACAATTGATACTCTTACACTGAGCTTGTCAGAAACTGCGGACACCCGGTGACCCGGACAGCTGCACTTCCTTTAACTCGCTTGTGTGTGGTTCGAAAACCGATAAAAAGTCGGCGACTCTTCCCTCCAATACATACAGTCATACACTAGTTGTGTATCCGTATCGACAAATTTTGTAGAATAATATGTTCCAAAATAAAAATAAAAATTACGTAAACTTTCGCAGAAAATTCTCACGATTTCACCAATACCAACAAAGTTCTCGAATCCACACGGAATGATGGGATAAACTGTTAATCTTTCACGGCGTATGGCAACATTGTGTTGACTGTTGACATTAGACAAGACGGTGTCAGACACCTTTTTTTGGTCTTGTAAAGTTCAATTTCATAATAAATAGATTTGATCCACATATCACAGTGACATTTAAATGATGGAAAATTGTTTCAAAATTTAAACACCTGTTTATAAGCAGTAATTATTTTATTTTAATGAACCAAAGAAAGTTTAGTCATCGAAATGACAAAATCATTAAATTTAAAATATCAAGTTATATGAGTGAGATCATCAATTATCAAAGAAGCCGTAAGAAAAAAATCGTTGTTTTGGATGTAAAAGAATGTTTTTAATTTAAAAGAAATGCAATACTTGATTTTCAGAAATACGATGCAAAAATTAATGATCCCTATTAGAATTCAACAGACGCGACTCATTCAGAATTAAATTGAATAAGTAGGTACCTATTTGAAATTTATGATTTTACAAATTGCTTAATTGAACGCAGTGCAGAAATTCAAGATCACCTATGAGTATGAATTTAAGTCTCATGACTGGAGATCTCAAAATTTATTGTACTACCACGTATGTTTGATACATAAGCTTCTTGTCCTTTTGATGAACAGAGTTTATTTAGGTTCTATTGACTGTAATAGGTAGAACGTTGCGACATATTTGCGGCCATCCAACGATCGGTTGACGGCTTTGACTCATGATACCACTGTACAAATATTGCGGTGGACACATCTTCCAGAAGTTTCAATGCAAAGATTCTTATTTAAAGGATAATAAATCGATTCGCAGTTGTTTACTCAAATTACTCCCACCTATAGATATAAATGAACATTATTCAATTTATTTTAAACGTTTTTCATGAATTCGCATTAAAATATTTATTTTGAAATCAACCATGTCAAAGTAACGAAATAAATTGTTATAGTTTTAGGCTTCCGAAAATATTTCAAATCTTTATCAGATATATCATAATTAATCATTCTCTTGCATTGAGTATATTAACGTTGTGAACCGTGCTGCCGCTGCCGCGATCGTCATTCGTTTTCGCAGTTGCATGCCGGGTGCTTGCTTCTGTTGTTCTATTTAGTCTCGCTCCCATGAATTGCGTGTTTCGTGTCATCGTGTGTGCATCATGGAAAAGTAGTCACGGTAGCTGTAATTACTTTATTAAGTTTACTGTCAACCGGGGCTACTCGTGACAGATTTGATCGTTTTTTTGTTAATAACTTAATAACTTCTTACGATGAAACATTTCATAAACAAATTTAAGCTCATTTTATAGCTCTTTGCCAGGGCTATCGAATGGCATTGTCAAAAAAATTCCATATGCTATTCCTAAGGTGCCAGACGCAAAATAAAGATTGTCCTGAGTAGCCCTGTCCGTCGGGGCTACTCCGGACAATGGGAATAAAACTTCATTTCAAAACATTTGAAGCATGCAGAGCGTACTCATCCTTTACTAACAGCTCTCTGAAGTCCTCCTCTTTCATTGTAGACGATGTAGAGGTAGAATAAATGACATTTTCTGTGATTTTTACTTGTTTTTCCTTTATTGATTTGATATTACCATAAACATTAATTACCATCAATTGGGGTGACTTCAGCCTCGTTTTTGATTCATGCTGGGGTCGTAAACGCGGGGTCGTAAACGCCGGGGTCATAAACGCAGGGGTCATAAACGTCGGGTCATAAACGCCAGGGTTGTAAACCAGGTCATAAACGCCGGAGTGACTTTGGCCATTGTTTATGACCGTTTATGACCCCGCTTTGGCCATCATTATGAACAAGGCTGAATCCCCCAGTTGATGGTACCCTATTATTGATGGGATATTACTGTATTATTGATGTGATATTACCATATCCATGAACATGCCATTAAGCATTTACAACAACCTTGTTCACTGCAAGCTTCATATCGGCAGCCTTATAGCATTTTTTCTGTATCTGTAAGCATACAGGAATGCTTGTAATTTGTGTGATAAGTGAACTTTTTTTCGCTCAGTGAGGTAAATGTAATCAATATTCTTTGTTTTTAATCAATTTGTTCTTAACTGGAGCCTTTGCTAACTGAGGTTCTACTGTAAATGCATTTTTGGGGGTGTCCCTAATAGCCCCGGGGGGGTGTCCTGAGTAGCCCTGCTGTGCGGAAATGGCTGCCATTTCTTTTTGGAATGAGATAGGCAAATTCTGTCAATTACGTTTTCAAGCCGACACCTGGGTGCAACTTTTATGTAAGTAAAATTTTTTAATACGGCGAATATTTTTTTTGCTACATACCTTAGCAGTTGTAACTTTACAAAATATAGTTTTTCACCATTTTTGCTCGAAAAATTCAGTCGCGGCTCGCCAAGTAGATATATTCCATACTAGACTATGGGTATGACCAATTCAAAACTTTTGATCGAACTATTCAACTCTATTACTGATTACTCCAACTGTCTAACAGAGATCATTTCCATTGTAAAAATAGAAAACTTACCAAACGTATTCAATGTGACAATGCCAAAAGTGTATGCTACTAAAAATAAGTTTAACAAATTCAATTGGCAGTCCAACAGAGTAAGCAGACGTGTCACGGTGTCACACGTTTTCTTTCAGTCAAAAATCGATGGAAGCTTCTGAAGACTTATGCAATTTTGCCACACAACAGGATGGTGTAATATAGTGGCCACGCAGAGTATGTTGTAGTGGTTGTTCACTAAATTTTTCATAAAATAACGGGAGATCTGGACTCGGGAGCCCCAAAGGCACGTCCAGCGCCACGAGTTGAGAAGGAGCAAGAGGACGTAAACAAATAAAGCGGAACAACGTAGGCTCCGAGAGCGCGGAACAATAAATAAACCAGAAAAATTATATGCCATTTCAAAAACACTGATATATAAGGAAAAATAAGTTTTGATTTTTCAAATCCTTATTTCATCCTCTTGAAACACATAACGGTCAATAATCCTAGATATTGTTTTGCAACTATTTCTCGCTTCGTCGAGTTTCACAGCATGATTAGAGAATTCTCAAAAAATACTATAAACTTCCAACAAACACAGTTTTGCTTGAACTTTTCAGCATAACGACTTTCCTCAAATTCAGTGAGCAAGGAATATCTCCCAAAGTAATGAACGTAGCTACTGCGAATTTAAGCACATATTACTGTTTAAATCACGAATGAGGTAGAAGTAAAAAAAAACTCGCAAAAGAAGGCAAAATTCAAAAAATTGTCATAAGTTAAATATTACCGTTAGGAGATTAGGTTTCTATATTGAAAGTTTCGTTCAAATCTGTGCAGTAGTGTAGAAGAAATGTCATGCTCACTGCAAATTTCGGCACGTATCGTCATATAACTCACGAATTAGGGTGAAATTTCAAAAATATTCACAAGCTAAGCATCACCGATAGGTCCTAATGAATACGTGTACCAAGTTTCATCGAGCTACGTTCATTACTCTGGGAGATATTCCATGCTTACTGAATTTAAGGAGACCGGCCGCGAGTCCGGCCGTAAATTTGTCCGAGACGTGAACATTTACATGAGAAACGTCTATTTGACCACTTGACAGTACAATAGTGATAGATATATGACGTTCCGCGAACAGCAGCAAGCTAATAGCTCACCACTTTCATTGCACTCTCATATTATTTTAAATTAAAGATTACAGATAATTCAAATTTCTGCATAATTTTGTGCGTCGTATTTCGTCTGTTACTGCTTCTGGACATTGCATAATTTGTACAGCTTGTTGGCGCAATCATTAACGCAACCATTTGCTCGTTGATTCAAGCAGAAATTTCACAACCACATGGCCACCCTGCCATGGTGCTGTTTAGAATAGAATACATAGAATAGAAATGTTGGCGCTGAAGCAATTGGCCCATGGCCTGTTGCCATTTCTTGTACTTTTCGAGACGTGATTCCACAAGGGATCAGGCCTTATGAACCCGATCTTTCCATAACTGACGAATTGATTGAGATAGCTGCTGGACTTATTGCCACAGGTCCGTAAGGTGCTAGGCATTTCAAGACTGAACATATGCAACTGCATAGCTTCGTCTAGTCTATTCTTGAAGGCATTCATACTCGGAGCGTCAACGATGCTATCAGGGAGGCTGTTCCACATGTCTTTGACTCGAAGCGTAATTAAGTAATTACTGCATTAACATAAATGAAGACCAATCGGTATCAATAATTTCCTTCTAAACACTTGGAAATTAATCCGGGTGCTTGTTGCCTTTAACCAAACCTATCCTTACCTAATTAAACAGGAATCAATTTATACATTACACTCCTACAAGCTTCGTCAAAATTTTTCTGGTCGTAACGCCAAATTAGTTAAAATTGCAGTGTTCAGCCAACTACGTACGTAGAAGCAAAGGGGACAAAAAAAAAAAAAATGCGGAAACGCCCGCAGGAGCTTTGTATTAATGAATAGCTTCGAAGTTATTTAGGTCTATATTGATCTCGAGTTGACATAACGATGCGTAGAAAACGTGCTAGAACTTGGCGCTTTGCGAGCTTATTAAAAACGAAGCGAAAGCAAATGTAGCAATGCTCGCTAGAGCCTAAATTCAATGAACAACTTTGTTGTTGATGAGGTCAAGATTTGTCTTGATTTTACGAAGTTATGCGCGGAGAACCTATGAAAAATTTGCCTAGAAGTTTACGAGAAAACTTGTGGCTCATACTTACGGTCAACTCTTGAGTCTTGAAGAACCTATCCCTCGACTCTCGCCAGCCCAGCCACAACGCTCGACACAAGAGTATTATAAATTTTATATATAAAATTAGTCTTATGGACGGAAAAAAATTCTGCCATCATAGCATTGAATTAATATTAAAATTAAAGATTAGGAAAGAAAAACCATCATTTTAAATTAAAAATATATATCAGAGAAACTAAGCAGAATATCGCTGTGTGAAACATACACACAAAACTGGCATGTTTTTAAACAAACAAAAGCTTGAAGCCAATAATCATAATAAAAATTTACGAATCAAAGGCGGCAGAAATTGAGTTCTATAGTAGTCAATGTCGGCTTCTGGAAGATGACAAAAACTTGTTTTGTTTAAGACTTGCGTGACACGAGTGGAAACACGAGAGGTAGGGTAGGCGCAGCATTGAAAATCAGAAGACCATATTCTGATGTTCCAATATTCGCCAGCCGTCATAACAGGACAAGGAATACACATTCACATCCATGAGACTATGATCACACATTGGCCGTCCCAATGCTACTATAGCACATTCTTCATTACAAGACAATAATCACAATTACAAGACACGCCCTATTACTATCGGGTTTAGTTCAGCATACAAACGGAAAATTCAACCGCATTACGTAGATTCTCAGGACAAATCAATCATTTTTTAACGAGGCAGGCAAGCACCTAGTTGAAAACACGTCTTAGGCGAATGCAGGTGAACGATTTTCCAATGATATCAAGTTGAAAACATTAAGATATTCGATGCCTGAATTTTTTTTAACCCTGATATAGTTTGATTAGTAACGACATTATTATGAATAGAGAACGTTCCTTTTGAAATAATGAATCTCTTTCGAAAAATTGACTGATGATGCACCACCGTGACAAGGAGTACAACAACCATTAGAATTCTTATCGTGTTCGAGTAACCGCACTACTCCCTTTGAGCGATTATAATTTAATTGTCTGACACAGATCTAAACTACAATCACTATTTCAGGCAAACATAATAAATTATTCATCAAACCCAATTCAATGGCCCCAGCAAGGTCAAATGGTTGCCAAGTACCAAGTACCATCTCTTCCACGCAATCTAAACCAAGCAAGATTTTCCCAGAACAAACCAATACAAATCTTCACCACAATTTGCGGACGAATTTCAACCGAAAATGTTCTCTCCGCGGGGCATGCACGTGTCTGTGAGATGATGAGTACTTGAACGAGTCATTTTAAATCCTACTGACCATGAATAATCTTAAGCGCATGCAAAGAATCCATAATAATTATAATATCTTTGCAGTCCTCGAGCCTAAGTTCATGAAGCCAACATAAGCCGATGAATAATCCAACAAAAACTATACCGGTAGCCACGGTTACGATCATTAATATAACTGGTTTTCAACTGTCTCGTCACAATCTCAGGCACAAAAATCGGGAACTTGATACTGTCTGCCCACCACCTACAGCAGTAATCAAGAACCCAATAAAAATTTCTGCACACAGTTAGCATTTTTATGGTAATACCGCATTTGTGCAGTTGAACTCCTCAAATACCGAAGAGCTGATATTTTCGATGATGCAAGGCTCATGTATTTTCAAGCTTCCAGTCTGAGCTGAGGAAGAATTTATCATGCGATAAATACAATAATAACACAACATGCATATAATTAGATAAGAATTCTAATAAGTACAAGTTAATTGGTTGAGAACGAGAAGAGGTATAAATTGGGACTAAAATCATGGATAGAAAAAGTCGAGAAGCATTGTACAAGAATTTCATTTTGTTTTTCTAGCCAAAAATAACAGAGCGCAACGGGAAAAAACAAACGGTACGGTATTAAAAGTGGGGAATTTTTCAACACTCAAAGCGGGCAAACACTGGCGACAGAATGCTAAATAATTATCAAATGTTACCGTACTTAATTTAAAATAAAGCAAGGACTCCATTGTTGCCTTAGACATAAGTAACCTACGTTTTACTATGATGTCTTCAGTGCATAAATAAGTTAAAGATGTTTTTACAGTTATAATGGAAGTTACAAGCAGCAGTGGAAAGAGTGTAATTTATAACATAAACGACCTCATACGATCCATTCGCACCAATGCTCGGCAGCTCGTGAGCTCATCTCTACAGCATGTTTTCTCAAACCGCAGTCAGAAGAAAATAACAACTTGTATTTAAACCGCTAATAATGAAGGCAGTTGTGCACCTAATAGCAAAACCCAATCATTTAAATTTGCGCGCGCTCTTTATTACCAAGTAAGTGTGACTTAGAATCAATTTTACGGTTGACTGAAGAACGACCCAAAACAAAGATACCATTAACAAGGTACTCAGCAACCAGAGAATGGAGGGTTCTTTTGTAAACGAAGCTTGGTCATAGAAAAAAACATAACATGTTAGTATGTCCCCATTTTCATCTTCATCATTCCCTAATAACTTAGGGTGGTTAGGGAAAATATCAGAATAGAGAACAGCACATATCGCGGCTGAATTTCACATGATAACATGCAGGCGAAATCGAATTGAGGTCTACCAATAGCATGGATATTATTTGGCTGTCTAGATTATATAAATACTGTAGTTGTAGAAACGAATCAGGAATTTTTCGTAGCTCGCCGTTGAATTGAAGCGCCCTTTACCAAATGTGTGGACAAAAACTAATGAATAATTTCATAATAGGAAGTATAGAAATTGAGCTCACTCCTTTAACCCCACCACTTCCTATGAACACGCCATATCTATACCGTACACAACACACATTAGCATACAGCATCACCAGCCATAGCATTGATGAGATAAAAATCTATATAGTCTCTGGAGATTACATATATCTGAGCTACTGAATGATAACTATAAATCTTCATCATAAAGTCCCAGTACAATGTATCGCACAAGCCAGGCAATGAGCGCAAAACCAGTGACAACAGCCATGTTCGTGAGCACCGCCATGGAAGTGCTGGTATTGGCATCCACGGATGCGCTACTCGGACTGCCGCATGCAGAGCTCACATTGTTGTTCTTCTCCATCAGACGCACACGAGCTGCCATTTCTTCGAGCCTTTTTTGCTGCTTCTCTTTAATTATCTGAAAAAATGAAAACTAGATATATAACCAGCAATTAGGTCTCATTTAAAATTGAGTTAAATCCGTAGAGCCAGATAGTTTCTATGGCATTTGAATTGCAATATGAATATGAACTAAAGATGTTTGCAGTTTGCGTTTCCCAGCTTTATATGCCACAAGGCAATAATTTGAAATGCCTAACATTACTTAGTACACATTTTCCAAGGCATAAATAGGATATAAACAACCTTGAATAATAAAACGAGTATGCCTGTGGCAGAAAGGAAACCTCATGATCTTGTGATCTACTCACAATGTAATATTTTCTTCATAATGTATTAACTCAATGAATAAGGTAGCACTAATGTATAATGCCAAATATTGTTTATAAATTTGAGGTTAGCATAATCAAGTTAACTGATTAAAATTAAAAACACAGAGAACATCAGAGTACAGCACTGTTAACCCTCTACCTCCTGACATGAGTAACCGGTGCAATATTGTCAGAAGCCTACTTCCCAAAAAGGATACGTAGCTAGTGACCGCAAAATGATTTGCACTGATGTTTGCCGCCATGTATGACCACTTTTAAATCTTCTCTGTTGCGTACAAATGTCCTCAAACTGCTACATCAATTGTTTATGTATAATTTAACTGTATAATAATTTATGTATAATTTAATTTAACAAAGTTACCTACATGCCCAGGGAGTGGCATAGGTATGGCGGTAGAGGGTTAAAGCAAGTAGTATATATATATGTGGCCTCTGAATGCCATGTTCTTAAAAAAAGTTTGAAGAAAATTGAATAATAATGAAAATTTTATAAGTCCAAACATACCTACATATATCTGTATACGGAAGGTGAGTTCAAATAGATACAAAGAAATATATACCTATAGGTATATATATTCAATACCTACATTGATATAAAATAAAATTATCTTGTTCAATTTCTAAACATGTTTGCAACGTACCTATGCCAAATGCTGTTTTGTATTGCTACAGATCTGGTGACAAAGATATTTATAAATTTAAACTTTACAAGTGAGCAGAAATAGTGAACTGTTGACTTGGAGGCTATGTAACTTACTTGCACTATTTCAGGGAAAAGTTCACAGAATATTTTATTATCTAGGTTGAACTGCCAGGATTTGATGGCCATTGCTTGCTTCTCTGCATCTGAACTCTCAATGCTGCCAAAGGTGGGCGACTTCTCAAGCTGTAACAAAAGATTTGCAATAATTTCCAGTTAATTATTCAATTCCAATTCCAAGACCTCGTTCCATCAAATTATTGCAGCAATGTCTCATGACCCAATTATGAATAAGCCATAAATTTGAATATTTCAAGTGGTACAAAACAAAAACATGGGTTCAAAATTATTATATTGATGTTTATTTATTTGCCTCATATTACCTATACTATTTAACCAAGATATTGGACCCTCAATAAGCAGGAGCAATAAATTAGAAATATTTATTAAATGGAAATCCAGCAATAAATTTTTTTAGTCCAAAAACAAGTTGTGCCAAATTTAAGTGGATTATAATCAGTACTGATTAAATTTTAGCATTATATCTGCAATATGAAATATTTAGTAAGCAAACTATCAAATAATTAAGATGCCCATTGGTGTCTGACTTCTCCATTTGCCTATAAAATTTTCCTAATTCATATCATTTGAGGATATGATTGGTTTTCAATTATAGGTATATTATATGAGCATATTACTTATTATAGGGATTAAAATTGAATTTATAGTTATATTATAAAATTGCTCACCATGAAGGAAAGGAGACCAGTGAGGATTGTTGCAACAGACCAAGCAGGATTCCAAGTGTCAGGATGAAAATCAGATATGGAAAGACAAAGTCGAGTGTTGGTCTTAAAACGACCAGAGGGAGTAGTCATGTAGATACTGGGTGGCCTGAAGGGATATTCCATTGGAAACATCAGCTTGCCATGGTAAAAGCCACCATAGTAAGGACTGTCTTCTGGACCTTGCACCACATAATGCCTGCAATGTTGTGCAGAGAGATTATGCCCATGGTAAAATCAAAGTACACATATCACCTAAAACATTAAATGAATTTTTGATACCTAGTCTACCCATTGCAATTGTTCAGTCAACTTACTGTATTCATAATATCTATAATTATTACCAAGTTCAATCCATCATCATCATATTTCTTCAGGTAACATTTTCTCTGCATGATCCAATTAAGTGGAAATTAATGATGAAAAACAGATACCTACATATAGGTATAAATGACTGGTTGATGGTAATGAACTCCACGCATTTGAAAGTACTATCATATTGCTGATATAATAAAAGTAATTTGTATCAGTTTATAGGGGGCTATATAAATGATTTAGTGATGAAATCAATCAGCACTTGGCTTGAATACATAATAGGGCAAACACAACATATGAATTAAACACCTTGGATAAAATTATTAAAAAATTATTAATTTTTTATTATTAATAAAAAATTATTATTATCCTATTTTTAAGGCACAAATTTTTCCAATTATCTCAATTCCAACTCACCACTCAAGAATATTTGATGGTAGTGGCTCTGCAGTGACATAGGGCACGGGATCTTTCTTCATTCTCATATAATCAGATCGCAAACGGTAAGTTGCTGTTACAGAAACTTTGCTCATTTTGCTATTATCATCAAATATGTACAATCTGAGACAGAAGTTAAATTAAGTGTAACATGCTTATTTCAGATATACAGTGAGTATAAAATTCTAGCATACAGTTCAGATAGTTTAAACTTTCAAATTTTAGAATCCCTGAAGACCAAGTCTCCAGAATATGAACTTCTCAGTTGCTAACTTTAGCACACAAACAAAGAACATACAAACACTGGGGAGCCATGATGAAGTGGCTCCCCAGAGTGTTGCTTCCTGAGTGGTGCTACCCATTTGGCTTCAACCAATGGTTTTTCTGATTGGTTATTTAGAGAGCTGACTGCCAGGTCCCTGTACATTTACCTAGGTGTACACTGGTACCTCACTTGCTTGTGCGCCTTCTGACTCTTCTGCTGCTACCTGGAACCCTACCTCTGCCTTCCTCTCCTTCTCACCTGACCACAAGCCAGCACACTGCCAACCTGCCATCAGAACCTCAACATCCTACAACTCAACATTTAATGCCTACACACCAATCACTTCAAACTCAAACAATACATGCACCCCAAAAAAATTCATGTTGCCATCATACAAGAGACCAAGCTCAGACACCTGAACAAGACACCATCCATCCCAAACTACACTGCCATCATGCACAGTAGGCCATGATTGAACTAGTATAAGGTTGACCCATGAGAAGCTCATTTTTTGCATTGTAGCTTGTTACTTGCCTGTAACGTCACAGGCATTAACCATTCACCGAAATGTGATCAAACTAGTCAACCAATCTGTCATGGGAATGACGGGATTGTTTACGTTTCTTGATCTCAGTGATTTAACAAGAAAGCTGAACTGAATGACAAAAATCCTCATGGGTCAACCTTATATAATTCAAACATGGGATAGGCAACAAGGAGAATGTGGTGGATTAATTACACACATACACCATAATATTGCCTACTTGGAGAAAACACAGTAAATCAGAACCCTAAAACATGACAGGCACTCAGAAGTTCAGAACTAGAGGCATTTCCTTCCAGACAGGCTACAAAAACACATTACCCAAAATACTGTCAAATGGGGTAATAAGGGACAGGTGGGGTGACTTGGGACAGTTGTCCCACATTTGGTAAAAATGTTATAGCAGCTAAACTTATCAAAATATTGCAAAACTAAAAATAGTGGCATTGTAGCCGTTTAGCTATAGTTATGCAGGTGTGATGAACTCAATACATTGATCCTGATTGGCTCTCCCAGTCTGGTGAGGATCATCATGAAAAATTACCTCTTCCTTGAATTGAAAAAATTCTCCAATAACTTGCCAAATTATTGATACCTCAGGATTATTTTAAATTTTTTGATTTGGTCTTTACTTGCACCATTTCCTTTCCTGATCACATTTCCTGATTTGTGCCAATTTTCTACTTCAGAAACCATGCATGTACAGCAATCCCTTGATTAACGCGGTTAATAAATCCCCGAGTTTTACCGTGTTAAGCAAAACCGCGCTAATCAAACTTAAGAATATATGGGAATAATTATAATGAATCCTCAAAAATAGCAAAGGAAAGGAAAATTATGTAGTTTGATAAAAGTGAGCAGTAGATATGGCAGCGATCTTGACCAGTTGAAGGCTAACAAGTAACTAGCCCTTTACGCACTGAATTATGTTTCGAAAGTGAAAAAACAATCTAAATTACTTTTCAGATCACGCGCAGTCTTTGTGTTGTACTGGCAGTAGCGGCGCACCTACTTCATCGAACGTCGTTCGAACGAGTTCACAACATGTGACGCTACCGTCACACTTGCGGCTAGACTCCAAACCTGTAATTACTCTCGGTAGAAGCTTTTATTTTCTGTGTGACGAATTCGTCACACCAGGGCTTAAAGGGCTAGAGCACCGGCATGGCGCACTTTCCGGCGAACGTTGCCGAACTCAATCATTCGAGTTATGAATGAGACAAGGCGCGGTTAAACCGACTCTGTAGTCAGCACGAGTGCCTACGGAACGGGACCTTATTTTAAAGAATTATTGGCTGAAATTCATAAAGTAACAACATTTGGTGAATTTTTCCATAAGTCGTAACAAAAGTAACAACATAAGATCTAATAAGCAAAAAGTAACACTTTAGTTACGAACGTAACACATCTGGCTAGAGGCGGGAAAATGATGCATCATGAAAAAAAGTCGCGCTAATCAAAACTGGCACCACGTAGATTAAGGGTAGGTTGCAAATTTTTTTTCCGCGTTAATCAAAACCGCGGTATTCAAAACCGTGCTAATCAAGGGATTGCTGTATATTTTATTAAATGATATGATATTTTAATCATTTTCTTGTTAATAACTGTTAATAACTTCTTACGATGAAACAATTCATAAACAAATTTAGGCTCATTTTATAGCTCTTTGCGAGGGCTATCGAAAGGCATTGTCAAAAAAAATTCTATATGCTATTCGTAAGGTGCCAGACGCAAAATAAAGATTGTCCCGAGTAGCCCCGTCGGTCGGGGCTACTCGGGACAATGGGAAAAAACTTCATTTAAAAAAATTTGAAGCATGCAGAGCGTACTCATCCATTACTAACAGTACTCTGAAGTCCTCCTCTTTCATTGTAGATGACGTAGAGGTAGAATAAATGACTTTTTCTGTGATTTTTACTTGTTTTTCCTTTATTGACATGATATTGCCATATACATTAATTACCGTATTATTGATGTGCAATTATCATATTATTGATGTGCAATTATCATATTATTGATGCGATATTACCGTATGCATGAACATGCCATTGAGCATTTACAACAACCTTGTCCACTGCAAGCTTCATATCAGCAGCCTTATAGCATTTTTTTTTGTATCTGTAAGCTTACAGGACGGCTCGTAATTTCACATCATTTTAATTGGGTTAAGTGAATTCACTATGGTAAAAAAGATCGTGAAAAACATACCTGAAACAGAAAGGAATGTTTCAGTGACAGCCAACGTATCTTTTGGAGAAATAAATCATAGTTTAGGTCAATTACTTTTCATTCTATGATGCCTGGTGCACAATTCTATACATGACATGCTATGCACAATTTTGTGATGACCGATGATGCACTAATTTTTCAATAAGTGAAATTTTTTTCGCTGAGCAAGGAAAATGTGATCAATATTCTTTGTTTTTAATCAATTTTTTTCGTGATTGGAGCATTTGCTAACTGAGGTTCTACTGTAAATGCGTTTTTTGGGGGTGTCCCAAATAGCCCCGGGGGGGTGTCCCGACTAGCCCCGCCATGGGGAAATGGCTGCCATTTCTTTTTGGAATGAGATAGGCAAATTCTGTCAATTATGTTTTCAAGCCGACACCTGGATGCAACTTTTACGTAAGTACCTACAATTTTTTAATACAGCAAATATTTTTTTTGCTACATACCTTAGCAGTTGTAACTTTACAAATATAGTTTTTCACCATTTTTTTCAGGAATTTTTCAAAGCAAGTAAATGTAGTATTTTTCGACTTCCTTTATACTACATAGATAGGAAAAATGTTGACATTTACGCCACTATTTTTAGTTTTGCAATATTCCAATTAGTTTTGCTACTACAACAGTTTTGTGCCGTGTCGGAGGCCTGTCCCGAGTAGCCCCGCTTGTCCCGAGTAGCCCCGGTTGGCGGTAACACAAAGTAAAATTAATGCCCAACCTGCCCTCTCAATATATTATTAAAAATGAGAATAAAGATCATGTATGCAGGTAGGTTGTGCTATAAAAATAGTATTTAAAACCCCCAAGTAACAGCGTAAAGTTAAACATTTTTACTATCTATGTAGCATAAAGCAAGTTAGGAAATCGTACACTTACTACCTTTAAAAATCCCTGAAGTGTGATTTTGGAAAAGTAAATCTGCGATTCTTAACATCGCAGAACATTCACAGCATTTTGTGATCTCGAAATTACAACTCACTGCTATAATTCTGCTGTGCTTCCAGGTCCCATAGTCTGACACAAGAGACATTGTAAAATTTATCTTAAGGTCATCTGGTCGTAGAACAACCGGATGCCAGTTGTTAGTCGATAAGCTTTATCCAGTTGTTAGTCAAAAGGTTTCTTCAGTAGTTTGATAACTTAACAATGAAAACACTAGCTGTTGAAAATGAGATAACCTTTAGTTTATGTACAATGGATTCTTTATATGCAACAAACCTCATGAATATTTTTTCATTTTCTGTCATTTTTACTTGTTTTTCCTTTAGCGATATGATATTACCATATTCATTAATTACCATATTATTATTGTGATATTACTGTATCCATGGACATGCCATTGAGCATTAACAAGAACCTTGTCCACTACAAGCTTCATATCAGCAGCCATGTAGCATTTCTTCTGTATCTGTAAGCTTACAGGATGGTTTGTTTTTGCACAATTTTAATCGAGTCTAGTGATTTCACTATAACAAAAAAGATCATGAAAAACATACCTGAAACAGAAAATGTTTTGAAGAAATAAATCATAGTTTAGGTCAATTACTTTTCATTCTATGATGCCCCGTGCACAATTCTATATATAGCATTCTATGTAAAATTTTGTGATGACCGATGATGCACTAATTTTTCGATAAGTGAATTTTTTTCACTGAGCAAGGTAAATGTAATCAAAATTCTTTAATGTTAATAAATTTTTTTGTTAACTGGAGCCTTTGCTAACTGAGGTTCTACTGTAAATGCNCCGGGGGGGTGTCCCTTTTTTCCCCGTCACGCGGAAATGTCTGCCATTTTTTTTTTTTTTGGAATGAGATAGGCAAATTCTGTCAATTACGTTTTCAAGCCAACACCTGGGTGCAACTTTTATGTAAGTGAAATTTTTCAATACGGCGAATATATTTTTTTTTTTTGCTCCAGACCTTAGCAGAGGTACTTTTCCAAAATTGCAACTTTCCGCACTTTTTTTCAGCGATTTTTTAGAGATAGTAAATGTTTCATTTCTTGACTAGCTTTATACATAATAGATAGTAAAAATTTTGAAGTTTATGCCACTATTTTTAGTTTTGCAATATTTTGATTAGTTTAGCTGCTACAACATTTCTACGAAATGTGGGACGCGCGTCC